CCTAGCGTAGAATTTGCGTTTCTGCAGATAGTATTTATATGTGAATCCCATTAAGGTCAAATGATAGTGTTACACCCAGATACTTGGCCTGACTAAGATGTTCCAGTATGTGTCTATGTAAAGTATAATTATGGACTATTGGAGTTTTGTTTTTAGTCACCGACAACACATTGCATTTGTTTGGATGGGAGATCATTTTCCATGTATTTTCCGAGAGCGCTAGTTTGTCAAGATCTTTTTGAAGTGTTTCAGCATCACTGTTTGACTTGATAACTAGATATGCAATAGTGTCGTCTGCAAATAAACGAATTGTAGCCTTTAGACCCACAGGGATATCGTTTATAAACTAAAGAAATAAACTGGGTCCCAAAACTGACCCCTTGGGTACCCCGGAATGGACATTGACAAAATCAGACTTCTCCCCTTCAACGACTACTGTCTGAGTTCTACCGGTCAGGAAACTCTCGATCCAGTTTGCGACATTTCCACGTATGCCATAATGTTTTAGTTTATGGTTTAGGAGAGTCTTAGCAAAGTCCATTATTAGGATATCTGTTTGGCGTCCCTCATCAAGATTCTTTGAGATGTCATCCAAAAATTCAAAAGTTGGATTTCGCATGATCGCGATTTGCGAAAACCATGTTGGAACGGATACAATATGTTATGGGTATCGACATGGGTCATGATAGTTGAGACCACAATGTGTTCCATAATTTTGCTACAGATACAGGTCAGAGATATGGGCCTGTAGGTTTCTGGGTGAAATTTTGGACCCTTTTTATAAGCAGGTGATACATTTGCAGATTTCCAGTCTGAAGGCACTATGCCTGTTTCCAGAGACTGATTAAATATTAGGGTTAAAATCAGGGCTATTCTGTTACAAGCTCTTTTAATACTCTGGGTTTGATGTCATCAGGGCCCGAGGCCTTGTATGGATTTAGGCATTGGAGCAGTTTTAGGACGCCCTTTTTATGTATAGAAATTTTAGGCATGGCGGGGTGTTTATCGTGAGTAGGCTTGTTACATCTAGTTTACCGTCCTTTTTCAGAGGAGCTATGCCATTATGGTCTGATCTTTTGGGTTTTATATATGACCTAAACCCCCTTTTTCAGGAAAAAAATGTTTTCATTGGTTGTGTTTTCTGGTGTAATGATATTATCAATATGGCTCCAGTAAGATGTTCGAAGTTTTCTCTGTAAATGATGTTTCAGGTTTATATACTTATTTTTTATTTCAGTGTCTCCTGATTTGTTTGATCGTTTGTGCAATATATTTCTTCTCCTGATAAGTTTCTTTGTGTCAGGGGTAACCCAAGGTAGGCTGGGTTTTGTCTTAAATATCTTGTGGGGGATATGTTCTTTTATGAGTTTAGACAATTCAATTTTGAAGTACTCCCATATTTTGTTTACGTCCCACTCGCTATTTTCTGTCATACAGTTGTACACGTTGATAAGCTCAGCTATAATTGAATTCCAGTTTGAGTTTTTATATACTGGGATGGATCTTGGTTTTTGAATATTTTTTTGTGGGGTAAGGTTCAACTCTGCTGTCGTGGTCAGAGAGACCAGGGATACTTTCTGTTCGAATAATTTGGTTTGGGAAATTTGTAATGAGGAGATCAAGGATATTTTCATTTCTGGTGGGTTGATCGATTAACTGGGTGAGTGCCGTGTCATCCAGTAAGTTGGCAAAATCATAGTGTATTTTTACATGATTTGTTTTGGGTTTGAGTACTTTATTTTTCCAGTCCCAGCCAGGGAGATTGAATTCGCCACCTATAATGAGGGCTGCATTATTAATTTTGGCGGCTTCTTTGATGGAATAGCTAAACAATCTCATCCTGTTAAAAACCACAACACTTCAAAAGGTATTTATACACAATCTAAAACCTTATCGATACCCTCGAATTTTACAAGGTTATATAAATGCTGAATTTTAGTGTTGTGGTTATTCACTGATGGTATGCCTAACTCAAAATCTCGAAACCGTGCCCTGTGTGATGACGTTGAAAAGCTTGGTCATTTCGTATCTAGAATGGCGCTTATAATAATTTTGTGGTACCTACACATCTTATAATAAATTTATATTGTCATAATTTGTCAAGTTGCTTCATTTTTTGCGATGACCTACTTTGCTAAATGCTAACGAACCCCGACAGTTCTCTGACTATTGATACCGAAAGTATCTGGTGGCCATGTATGCACCTTCACTGAACGAATCAATGTAAATTGCAGTATACAGTCTCATATACTGGAATTTCGTTTACTAACGACATATAGGCAAATGCAACACAGAATGAAAATATTTATGCTACATTTCTAATTCGGAAAAAATCCTCAAATTTTATAAATAAATACTTAGTCACTCTCTTTGAGGGTGGCCTTTTTCATTTACAGTCCGTGTTGTGTCGTTTCTTGTTATAGTGAGTTAAAAAACAATAAGTGGTTGTATCCTCACCTTACACGAAAAGTCTTGGAGCTTGTTCGTTTACATTTAAAACATTAAATACTTTAATCTTTAGCCGAATCCATTGATTTTCGTTTTTAATTTTAAGCTTTGCATTACATGAATGTGCTATATTTGTTCGATAAGTTTCATGTGTCATTCTAAAAGCTTCCATATTGCACAGCGTATTACTAGTATATTAATGCAAACTCGTAAAGTTGGACATCTGTCATCTGAAACTGTTGTCGCATACATTACAAAATATTTGCAAGTATAACTTGTTAAGTGAACCATCTATGAATGAACATAATAAATGTAGAGTTATTCGTACTTAATAATATAACTTTTTAAATTAATAAAGGGTAACTTATTTTGATATAAATCCAATTCCAATATGACCCCGCGAAACAGAGACACTATGTATATGACACGGACGATACAAACGTTACAGAGTATAATCAGACTTTAGACATATAATGTATAATAATACATTGGTCATTCAATATACAACAGTTATAATTTTGATTTAAGAGACAATCAATATCAGAGTGATAACACATGGTTAAAACATTGCTTCAAATAAAGGTTTTTGAAGATGCTAACAGTAAAAGCTTCTCTCAAAGCATCACTTAAGTCATTACGTTATTCAACTCAGGTGCGAGGGCTATTCAATACATCATGTTATTAGTGACAGAAATCATATGCTTAATACTCAAAATAGTTAAGGACCTACTCTGCTAAGATTTAAATCACGTTTAAATCTAGTGTACCATGTCTTTATTTAATTGAACGAATAGTGATCTATTTTAAAAGCAAACATGCATCTTGAAAATGTGTCAAAAACAAAAAGTCTATAATTTACAGAACGCTTTTACGTGGGGAAAATGCCCAACTAAGCAGCCATATAAACATATTTGTTCTTACGCTCTGCGTAACGTCAAAATTGCAACTATTTTGACACTTGACTAAAACAAATTCATTGCGTCGGCAGCAAAAAAAATAAAAGAAGCAGAGCGATCCCGGAATGTTCTGATTGTTTTAAGAAGAAAAACGCAATTAAAACATTTTGAAGATATTGAATGAAAGTGTTCTGCTGACGATCAAAATGATACATGTTACAAAAATAATCTCAGCTAAATTTGAATTCGTATGTTTGACCGAACTTACCAAAAACCACGAGCACACGGACTTATCATTTTTCTGTATTTTTTTATTCTCTGATATTGTTCTCTTTAAATAAGGCGTGTCTAAAAAAAGTGAGACCGTAGAACCATTTTGACTTGTCACAAGAGTGAAAAGATAAAGACATCACGTGTTGCGGCGGGGATAGCAGATCATCGAGTTTGGAAAATGGAAACACAGACTAATTCTGAAAATGTAAACTTGATCTGTTCCTCGACAGATAAAATAGACTGCCAATCGTAACTGCATTTGCTTCTATTTCGGAAGCTTGTGCAGCATACAGTCTGACCAATCGTAGCCTATCTCCGAGCGGGAAATTCAATCCGGAACGAATGTAATTGAACTCTGTCAACATCACGTCATGAGTATATTGTACGTCTGTTGTTATCTTTAAATACATTACTAGATACACGTTTCATAAATACATACGTCCATAATTCTTATATTTAACGCTAATTATAAAAAAGAAGACGTTTGTGGTTTTAATGTTCTCTCTCTCTCAGCAATAATTTATGCCCTGTCTTTGCTGTCGTGTTTTTGTTTAATTTTTAGGACGAATCGACTGAAAAGATTATCAGGACTAGTTACGAAAGCCTCATCACGTCCATATATTTCACTTTTAGATATATCGACGATATCCTGTCATCAAATAACGCGAAACTGTGATCACGTTGATTCCAGATACCTGTCTTAACCTCATATACTAATCCCGCCTTACTCGATTTAAGTAGGCAATATGGCCACAATGGACTGCTGACTGATCAGCGGGACGATTATCAAACCATAATATTCCCTTCCTTATAATTCACATTCCTGATTCTCACACTTCACAGTGTTGACAAGTTGACGTTTATGCGGTATTCATGATTCGGTCCTAGTAATCGACTGCTGCCAGGCATACTTACAACACAAGGTCTTGAGTGGGGAAGGTTGAAGGCTATGAACAAGTTTAATGGTCACCATAATATTCTTATTGGAAAACATATCGATCTTCCTAAGTAAAGATTTTTGAAAAAGTACTCTCCTTCAGACATCTTACTCTTGCGTTTTGACTTCTATGTCAATCATGTGTGTAAGATTTATACAGATATAATTCAACGTGAAGTAAGGGTACTGAAGTAAAGCACGACATTCTGCTGCGGGTTGAGGCGTGCCTGTACGCATTACACAGAAATATTTGATTGTTTTTCTGTCACACTTTTCTTCACCCGCGCCATCATCAAGCGTGCATGCAATATGTGGCAACCGTTTGACTAGACCATTGTTAAGCTGTGGATAGAGACGATGGAGACGTCTTGATTACTATAGCGCGTATGAGCTATTTTCCCCTTGGTAGGTAAGTATACGGACATACAAAAGACATATGATGAAAAGAATCTTTTATTTCAATTTTAAATGTCAATCAATTTCAGATTCACTGTATGACGTCCTTTATAATATAAAACAATCCGCTTATTCGCTAAAATGAATTGGTTAGAAAAACTCCAGTCATCAGCGAACAATCATGTACGATTGTCTGAAAATAAACCGTTATTTGTTTGTTATTCATTGGAATATCTACAAATGTTAACAACAACACAAAATGTTGTCTCACCATATGTCTCACTAATGTGTATTACCCATTTATTAAAAACGTTGAGCGAATACACATTTGATTTTGCTGCAATGTTCCTTTTACGACTGAAACTGTTTAAGACGCTCAAAGCTGTCTTCCTTTCGTATTGCTGTTAAAACTGCAACGAAACGCCGAATCCCTGTAAATATAATTGAACAGAACAGTTATGTTATTTCAATGTACTAATATCGATATTTACTGTCTGTACAACAAAAACATTTCGGTCATATCCACTTACATACATGACGCACAGGTAGTAATATGTTACGGACAGTCGAAACCTTTATAACATAATTTATTTTCAATATTGAAGCATTTTATCGTTTATCGTTATCATTGAATATTTTGTTCATCTATCTATTATCGTACTATATGCACTTATTTTATAATTGTATTACTCTCTTGCTTTCATTTCTTTTTTTCTTTTTAAAGGATGAAGAATAATGTTCTATCTAATGAAGAAGAAAACATATAGGTTTAAATGACGTCGATATAATACGTATGTATTAGATTCAAGGGCAAATGTAGGAGCACGTGAAAACACAGAATTAAATTACCACCATGTACGTTAAAGTAGCATTTCCCCATCTTAATTCTCTAAAATTAATTGGTGAGAAAAACTCCAGTCATTACCGAACAATCATGTACGATTGTCTGAAAATAAGCCGTTATTTGTTTGTTATTCATTGGAATATCTTCAACATGTAAACAACAACACAAACTGTTGTTATATGCAAATAGAGAAGTGATGTGTAGCTTTGAAAGGCCAAACATGGGTTTAAGCATAAAACTTAAATAAAACATAAATAGTATTGTGTTATGAAAAAATTCCCCTTTTCAAAAATAGGTACAGTTTAACACCGTCACTTTATAACGCTGTAAATCCTATTCCCGGAGTTCAGTGTGGGGTTACTCCTTTCTTTGCTAATGAAGTTTTGCATTAATAATCGGCCCCGTAAGGGCTCCAATATTATTCATGGCACAAAAACAAATAATCTCTCGACATATTTTTATATAAATACAGATAATTCTCAGTTAAAAACTTACCTAAATATCAATATTTAAAGGCGTATGTATTCAGATTTATATTGTCATAATTTAGAGGGTTTGGTATAAATGTCATTTTGATGGTGTAACAGCTGTTGAACATAACATAACATATTGAACAATGTGGTATGAATGACATTTTCAAGTTTCAATTTATTCCTATATGCTTGTTTGTTTCGATATTGAATGAACCATATCAGCCTAACTGACGACAACATGTTCAGGACTACTCTAAGTATCCTATTCCCCCACGTTTTAAGACAAGCGGAGGGATTATCAAGTCTCAAATCTTTTTTCTATTATTTTTATAAGAAAAGGGGAACAGTCTACTACTTATGTAAGACTGCAGTAGCCAATAGTTAATGTTCTTGTTTCTTTATATTTTCTCTATGATGACGATCATGAGAAAAGCTATTCAGACTAAACGGTAATTTAATAGCCATAATAATATTGTATTGCATATCTAATCAGACCTATCAGTTTTGTTAACGTTCAAGAGCCTAATTGTATTTAAACGTTTACCTTCCTCGACATCTCGTTTTGGATAAGTATAAGTTAGTCGAAACCAGCCTGGTATCGGACAAAGCAATTCGGTCCCGGGGCAAATGTAGAGACCAGTATCCATAAACTTGTTGAACAGTTTGATTTCCTCTTCTTTTGTTCGTTCATTTAAAAACTGGCAAGAACAATGCTATATAAATAACATATACTATATTTCAATAATCAATATTGACAGTTTAACAGTCATTGTTTAATGAGGCACAACATTCCTTGAAATTAGAAAACGTGCTACATTATGTAAAAATACCAATCGGATATCACACGTAAAGAATGTGGCATAATTCACTCGAGCCTTCTGGTTTCTTTTTTCCCCGAAATGTTGATTAGCCTATCTTACATATCGCACTTGTGTGTACGTTTGATCTCACAATGGGGCAAACGATTGTTAAATCGCACAGTTGTGCGGACGATGTGCGCACGACGATGTATGCACGGTGTGAGCACGGCAATATCAGTGCCTTTTGTGATCACATGACTGTAGGTTTTAAATTGAAAGTAACCAGTACCCCTATTCTTTGAGATTGATATTATCAATTCTGTTTTGAACAGAAGTCGAGACCAACTTTTGGATTTCATCTTTTTGGTCCCCAAGAACATCAATGATACCTAGATGGACAAAATAGCTGCATGGTTCAGTCTAATTCCAGTCGTGACATGCCTGTCCATTGTTAATTTGAATTGATGTGCGTTCATCTAACGACGCTTCCACTTTTCGGTTCGGACTCTATGGTCTACGCACCAATGTTTACGAACCCCTTCTTATCAAATATAATAACATTAAGTTGATTACCTGAGACAAATCCATCCAGAAAAAGATCACGTTTTCACAGCTGTATGATGTAGGTATTTTGAAGTCATCCAACACATCTTTAACAAGTTTATGATTCTCTTTTGCTCTGGTGTAATAGGTAGGGAAGTAAGTCTTGTCAATCCATTCTGGAACATAGGTATTTAATCATGACTGATCAACCAGTCGAGTATGCAAAACCATTACAGTAAAATCGCAGTAGAATCATTAATCTAATGAAATAATGAAATAACTATAAGATATAACTAGCAAACGTTTAAACAACGCCTGCAATCAAGTTATTATTACTGGGTGAAATTATTAACGTACAGATATGTTTTACGTTTCCGTGTGTATTTTTTTTATTGTATGTAGTTCTAATTCGTTTTATTCCCTACACGTGTTGAATATCGAATACCTGTGTCGGACAGAATGTCATTGATCAACAATTGTGTAGGGGCAGGAATGGAACAAAACGTTGCCATCTTCTGCAGGTAGTTGATGACCCTCACATCATGAGAATATACAACACCACATCGAAATCCAGATAAACCAAAATCCTGCAAAACAATAAACTTTGTGACCTGGTAGTTGCAACTTCGTATTTGCTGTTTATCTCGATTCTGAAAAATAAGGCGGTTTAGAACTGTAAATCAATTCGGAGATTTTAAACGATCAAAAACTGAGATCAACGATACTCGTCTTCTGCATCATTTATCAATAATATACAACATTTGATATAGCACCATATTTAGCTAGAATAAACCACTCTTAAGCGCTTAACAGTACATAGATATACAATTAGTACAATTATCATTTACATTAATCGATACAACTTTGAGGAATTCGCAGGAACTGCCTTATCAGGCGCTAACTACTTGTCCTATGCCACCAGACTAATATCGCCCTATGTGTGTATGCCTGCATGTGCTGGAGATGTATTGTTTTCTGTTTGTAGTGGGACCGTGCATCATTTAAAGTGCCCCTCACTTGAATGCTACATCACATGTTCCGCAACATTCACCCCAGACCATTTTATACTCCACCTGACATGCTCGAGTTATTAGAGTTTTCTTAACTCGTTACCTTGCTTAAACCCCAAATGAAGTGAGTCTTGTCTGGGTCAGGAATTGTCATAGACAAGACACTTGTAAAACATCCTTGACCTTGTGTCGACAAAGCATAGATTTCATCAAATATGACGTGGAGATCCTCTCTGCAAATATACCAAATAAGGACTTTCAATTATTTGGTCAAAATTTAAAGGAAGATAATTATGAGAAATTGTCAGGGAAGCCAAGAAAGAAATGATGAAATAATAATTTGAAAATTATTACCGTTTGCAGAACTCCATCAAATCAGCAAGTTCTTGCTTCGTATAAACCTTACCCGTAGGGTTACTCGGACTTGTTAAGATCACTCCACGGACAGTTAAACCCTACAACATATCAGAAGTAGGAGTATATCAAATTATATAATTATAACATATTTAATTTTGATGAAAGATTATGGTAGATAATGACTACATATTAATAAAAAGTATTCTGATGGTTTATTGTCACGCATCACACTAATAGTATTACTTCAAATAGCTTTGCAATATATTATGATGTTGATCAATGTTGACAGTTTTGTGAATATTTTGTTTGCACCACCTTTTTTATTATAAGCCCATGTAACTGTAAAGAATTATTTCCGTTTTCTTTAAAACAAGTTGCTTAAAATTTAGAAGACGGGTTGGATAAAAAACGGTATTTCTACCTGACTCTTGAAATATCTGCCTTTTGAATTCAATATCGATGAACAGAATAGGACATAGTATAGTAATGCATTACATTTACAGATATTACGGTTTATTGTAACACTTCCAACTTACCCGTTGTTTTGCTTTTAGTAGATATGATTCCAAAACATCGCTGCGCATTTTACATGGATCATCCGATGATTCGTCCTAGAAAACACAGCCCATGACAAATATTATATGATGAAAAAGTACAACGTGTATAGACTTTTCAGCATTCAATATTGGTCTATAATATGAATCTTCTTTTCAAGTCGTTGCCCAGTTACGAAAAAATGAATTTTAGATTGCCGAGTGCATACGTTGTTACTGTATGACAACAAGCTACATCCGTTAGTTACAATCTAACAGTAGAACCCATGCTGGTTCGGGTAGGCATGCTGTATCCCACAGTATTATCGTAAGAGGCGACTTATGTGGGACCACTGCAGAACTGTGCGTAGTTTCTTCCTGGTCTTCTATTTAGGGGACATTGAAGCAATCAATGATAACCCCGCTGCATGTATATCGTAGAAGGCGACTAGTGTGGACCGCCCTGAAGAATCCTGGGTTTTCTCCTGTGACTTCTAAGAACGGGACAGGGAAGAGAGCAACATCGATCTGCTGCCCCCATTGCAAACACTTGGTATCTTTTTCGTTTCCTATCTTTCCTGTTTTCTTTCTGTTCTATCTACTTTCTGTTACAGACGGTGTCTCCCTAGACACCTGTCCTCATATGATCCTGGCTGTTGCTAGGAACTTAGAACCCAAACAAACAAACTCTAAGAATATTTGTTAGATCATCTGAGTAATAAACCAAGCAGAGCAAATGTCCTGTTCAAAATTGCCATAATTCCGAATATAACAGTGTATGTTCCAAACAACATCAAAATGTAGACTTACATCAAACATTGGGACCTCGTAGATATCTACTCCACCTATGTCTAACATGTCGTATTTAAGTCTGGTGTACGCCGGGGTAGGGCACAGGAAAACATCTGTCAACAATTACATTAAATTAGTAATCTATATTGATGTAAATTCACACCATTCGTATCAGGTAATTATTTTCTAATAACTACCAGTTAGATTTATTATATTCTGCCTCTTTCATTGATCAAATAATCAATTGGCAGATCAAAAATATGAATTTCAAGAACTACTTGTCACAAATATATCCTTCAGAACTTGTTATCAAAATACACCACAGACTTTAAATAAGAATATGACTGGTTACATAATTAGGTAGTGCAGAACACTCCAAACGAAACAATAATGACAAATAGGAGATATAGAAAGGTGTGACATCCTGATGTTCGTCATACCTCCAACATCTGCCAGAGTGAACGCCAGTGCGTTTATGGTTGTTGCTACCCCACTCAACAGTATGATCTGAAATGATAATATGTAAGTTCTTAACTATGGGTAAAGGAAATCATGTGGCTGAGTTTAAGCTTATATCAGTTTATGAGCAATGCATTTAATAATCAAGAACACACTACAATAGTGTTGGTTTGCATAAGTGCTTTAATATCATTTATTGATGTTTAAATGCATGAGAGATTTCGTTAACGTTAAAAACAAAAATGGATAAAATTCAAATGGCAATATTGTGTTAGGTGCAAATACATTTGTTCATTTCTTTTACAATCAAATTACTATTCAACGTGACAGCATATTTGATATACATTAATTAATATATTATATTTGATATACATCATTTTTGTAATATACATTATGTATTTCGAATTTAATATAGTCACAAGTGGTCAAACATGTACTTACATCTGATCTTCACATGACTTACCTTTTCCTCTTGGATTTTCATCTTGCTTTTGAAACGATCCTCGATAAACTTGCTGAAGGTCTTTCTCACTCTTTAACATTATGAAAGAAAAATCCACATAACTACATTTAGCAACCGAAATAACAATTGAAAAACAACTAGAAAACTCGCAGATAACATTTGAGACAATGTGTTTGCGGCTTATTTCACTTTTCTCGATTCAACTAAACTGCAGTCATTATAGCACAAAAATCATCGGTAAGGCGGAATAGAAAGCAGAATAAAAAGTTACTATTGGGAAATACTATATCCACTGTTTGAAGATTTGTCAAAACAATAAATCTGCAGGTAGTCTGTCTGCGTTATTTTCATGTCAATTTGACGCGGGCAGTTTGAGCAATAGGCAATTGGATCTGACTATCACTGGTCATCTTTACAATGCTAAACACGTGACAAAGTTTGAATAATACTTTCCAATAGCACTCCAGTTTAATCATGTTCGTGGAAACTAAGCAACTAGTATGATAATCGAGGAGATAAACATTCTTAGAATACTATTCATCGCAGTTTTCGTCTAATGATAACCCTTTATCATTCGAAGATGGTAAGCTGATCATTTAAGATATATCATTTGGCCGTTTAAAATGGGGAAATTGAATACAAGAACTGTCACGCAAAATGCTTACAATTGTGTGTACATTAGTATTTCGTATATTTTAAATGTATCTACAAATTCATAACCAACATACATACTAAATGTATAAAAGCTACACTAATGATGGCATTTCATGTAAGGTAAAATAAACTGTCCAAATTAATCATTACTATGTCGTCTATATAATATATCAAGTACTGTATCATTGGTACTATAGGCGTGCAGTGTGCATCTGTAATATATACAATGTACAGTAGAGTTTCCCTAGTACCTAGTGTCGTGAACCTATATAGTTAATACGGTACAGTTATCCTAGTACCAGTGTCGTGTACGTCTATAGTCAATACGGTACAGTAACCCCAGTTCCAGTGTCGTGCATGTCTGTAGTATATACGGTACAGTTACCCTAGTAACAGTGTCGTGTATGTCTGTAGTATATACGGTACAGTTACCCTAGTTCCAGTGTCGTGTATGTCCGTAGTAAATACGGTACAGTAACCCTAGTTCCAGTGTCGTGCATGTCTGTAGTATATACGGTACAGTTACCCTAGTTCCAGTGTCGTGTATGTCCGTAGTAAATACGGTACAGTAACCCTAGTTCCAGTGTCGTGCATGTCTGTAGTATATACGGTACAGTTACCCTAGTAACAGTGTCGTGTATGTCTGTAGTATATACGGTACAGTTACCCTAGTAACAGTGTCGTGTATGTCTGTAGTATATACGGTACAGTTACCCTGGTATCAGTGTCGTGTATGTCTGTAGTATATACGGTACAGTTATCCTAGTAACAGTGTCGTGTATATCAGTAGTATATACGGTACAGTTACCCTGGTATCAGTATCGTGTATGTCTGTAGTATATACGGTACAGACATACACGACACTGTTACAAGGGTAACTGTACCCTATATACTACAGACATATACGGTACAGTTTTCCTAGTAACGGTGTTGTGTATGTCTATAATATATACGGTACAGTAACCCCAGTTCCAGTGTCGTGCATGTCTGTAGTATAGACGGTACAGTTACCCTAATAACATTGTCGTGTATTGTATGTCTGAAGTATGTACGGTACAGTTACCATGGTATCAGTGTCGTGTTTGTCTATAGTTAATACGGTACAGTTATTCTAGTAACAGTGTCTTGCATGTCTTTAGTATATACGGTACCGTTACCCTAGTAACAGGGTCGTGTATGTCTGTGGTATATACGGTACAGGTATATACGGTACAGGTATATACGGTACAGGTATATACGGTACAGACATACACGACCCTGTTACTAGGGTAACTGTAACGTATATACTACAGACCTACACGACACTGATAGCAGGGTAACTGTACCATATATACTATAGACATGCACGACACTGGAACTAGGGTTACTGTACCGTATTTACTACGGACATACACGACACTAATACCAGGGTAACTGCACCGCATATACTACAGACATAAACGACACTGTTACTAGGAAAACTGTACCGTATATGCTTCAGACATACACGACATGTACCGTATATACTAAAGACATACACGACACAGATACCAGGGTAACTTTACCGTATATACTACTGACATACACGACACTAGACATACACGACACAGATACCAGGGTAACTGTCCCGTATATACTACTGACATACACGACACTAATACCAGGGTAACTGCACCGTATATACTACATACATACACGACACTGGTACTAGGATAACTGTACCGAATATACTACAGACATAGACGACACTGTTACTATGGTAACTGTACCGTAGATACTACAGACATACACGATACTGTTACTAGCGTAACTGTGCCGTATATACTATAAACATACATGACTCTGGAACTAAGGTTACTGTACCGCATTAACTTTATACATACACGGCAATGTTGCTAGGGTAACTGTACTTATTGACTATAGACGTGTACAGTTACCCTGGGATCAGTGTCGTGTATGTGTCTGTAGTATATAGGGTACAGTTACCCTTGTAACATTGTCGTGTATGTCTGAAGGATATACGGTACAGTTTCCCTGGTATCAGTGTCGTGTTTGTCTATAGTCAATAAGTACAGTTACCCTAGTATCAGTGTTGTGTATGTGTGTAGTATATGCGGTACAGTTACCCTAATAACATTGTCGTGTATGTCTATTGTCAATACGATACAGTTATCCTAGTAACTGTGTCGTGCATGTCTATAGTATATACGGTACATGTCGTGTATGTCTGTGGTATATACGGTACAGTAACTCTTGTAACAGTGTCATGTACGTCTATAGTATATACGGAACAGTTATCCTAGTAACGGTGTCGTGTATGTCTTTAGTATATACGGTACCGTTATCCTAGTAACAGTGTTGTGTATGTGTGTAGTATATGCGGTACAGTTACCCTTGTAACATTGTCGTGTATGTCTGAAGCATATACGGTACAGTTATCCTATTAACAGTGTCGTGTATATGGCTGTAGTATATACGGTAAAGTTATCCTAGTAACTGTGTCGTGCATGTCTGTAGTATAGACGGTACAGTTACCCTAATAACATTGTCGTGTATGTCTGGAGTATATACGGTACATTTACCCTAGTAACAGAGTCGTGCATGTCTGTAGTATCTACGGTAAAGTTACCCTGGTATCGTAGTATATACGGTAGAGTTACCCTGGTATCGTAGTATATACGGTAGATTTACCCTAGTAACAGGGTCGTGTATGTCTGTATATACGGTACAGACATACACGATAATGATACCAGGGTAACTTTACCGTAGATACTACAGACATAAACGACACTGTTACTAGGGTTACTGTATCGTATATCCTTCAGACATACACGACAATGTTATTAGGGTAACTGTACCGTAGATACTACAGACATACGCGACACTGTTACTAGCGTAACTGTGCCGTATATACTACAGAAATACACGACACTGATCCCAGGGTAACTGTACCGTCTATACTATAAACATACATGGCTCTGGTACTAAGGTTACTGTATCGCATTGACTTTATACAAACACGGCACTGTTGCTAGGGTAACTGAACCTTATTGACTATAGACGTGTACGGCACTTGTACTAGGGTAGCTGTACCGTATATACCACAGACATACACGACACCGCTACTAGGATAACTGTACAGTATATACTACAGACACATACACGACACTGGTACTAGGATAACTGTTCCGTATATACTATAGACGTTCATGACACTGATACTAGGATAACTGTACAGTATATACTACAGACAAATACACGACACTGATGCCAGGGCAACTGTACCGTATATCCTTCAGACATACACGACAATGTTACAAGGGTAACTGTACCCTATATACTACAGACACATACACGACACTGATCCCAGGGTAACTGTACCATATATACTATAGACATGCACGACACTGGAACTAGGGTTACTGTATCGTATATACTACAGACCTACACGACACTGATAGCAGGGTAACTGTACCGCATATACTACAGACATAGACGACACTGTTACTAGGGCAACAGTACCGCATAGTCTATAGACGTACATGACACTGTTACAAGAGTTACTGTACCGTATATACAGACATACACGACATGTACCGTATATACTAAAGACATACACGACACAGATACCAGGGTAACTGTACACGTCTATAGTCAATAAGGTACAGTTACCCTAATAACATTGTCGTGTATGTCTATAGCAAATACGGTACAGTTATCATAGTAACAGTGTCGTATATGTCTATAACAAATACGGTACAGTTATCCGAGTAACAGAGTCGTGCATGTCTGTAGTATATACGTTACAGTTACCCTAGTGCAAGTGTCGTACACGTCTATAGTCAATAAGGTACAGTTACCCTAGCAACAGTGCCGTGTATGTATAAAGTCAATGCGGTACAGTAACCTTAGTACCAGAGTCATGTATGTTTATAGTATATACGGTACAGTAACTCTTGTAACAGTGTCATGTACGTCTATAGACTATGCGGTACTGTTGCCCTAGTAACAGTGTCGTGGATGTCTATGGTGTATACGATACAGTTACCCTAGTAACAGTGTCGTGTACGTCTATAGCAAATACGGTAAGTTACCCAAGAACCAGTGTCGTGTATGTATCAAGCATATACGGTACAGTTATCCTAGTATCAGTGTCATGTACGTCTATAGTATATACGGTACAGTTATCCTAGTAACAGTGTCGTGTTTGTCTATAGTATATACTGTACAGTTACCCTAGTAACAGTGTCGTGTATGTCTATAGCAAATACGGTAAGTTACCCAAGTACCAGTATCGTGTATGTATCAAGTATATACGATATAGTTATCCTAGTATCAGTGTCATGTACGTCTATAGTATATACGGTACAGTTATCCTAGTAACAGTGTCGTGTTTGTCTATAGTATATACTGTACAGTTACCCTAGTAACAGTGTCGTGTATGTCTATAGTATATACGGTACAGTTACCCTGGTATCAGTGTCGTGTTTGTCTATAGTATATACGGTACAGTTATCCTAGTATCAGTGTCATGTACGTCTATAGTATATATGGTACAGTTACCCTAGTAACAGTGTCGTGTACGTCTGTAGTATATACGGTAGAGTTATCCTAGTATCAGTGTCGTGTGTATATGTCTGTAGTATATACGGTACAGTTACCCTAGTAACAGTGTCGTGTACGTCTGTAGTATATACGGTAGAGTTATCCTAGTATCAGTGTCGTGTATGTCTATAGTCAATACGATACAGTTATCCTAGTAACAGTGTCGTATATGTCTGTAGTATATACGGTACAGTTACCCTAGTAACATTGTCGTGCATGTCTATAGTCAATACGATACAGTTATCCTAGTAACAGTGTCGTGTATGTCTATAGCAAATACGGTAAGTTACCCAGGTACCAGTGTCGTGTACGTCTATAGTCAATACGGTACATAGTAACAGTGTCGTATATGTCTATAGCAAATACGGGAAGTTACCCAAGTACCAGAGTCGTGTATGTATCAAGCATATACGGTACAGTTATCCTTGTATCAGTGCCGGATATGTCTATAGTATATACAGTACAGTTATCCTAGTAGCAGTGTCGTGTATGTATCAAGTATATACGGGACAGTTATCCTAGTATCAGTGTGATGTACGTCTATAGTATATATGGTACAGTTACCCTGGTATCAGTGTCGTGTTTGTCTATAGTATATATGGTACAGTTACCCTAGTATCAGTGTCATGTACGTCTATAATATATACGGTACAGTAACCCTAGTAACATTGTCGTAGTATATACGGTACAGTAATCCTAGTATCAGTGCCGTATATGTCTATAGTATATACGGTACAGTTATCCTAGTATCAGTGTGATGTACGTCTATAGTATATACGGTATAGTTATCCTAGTATCAGTGTCGTGTATGTCTATAGTATATACGGTACAGTTATCCTAGTATCAGTGTCATGTACGTCTATAGTATATACGGTACAGTTACCCTAGTAACAGTGTCGTGTACGTCTGTAGTATATACGGTACAGTTATCCTAGTAACGGTGTCGTGTATGTCTATAGTCAATACGATACAGTTATCCTAGTAACAGTGTCGTATATGTCTGTAGTATATACGGTACAGTTACCCTAATAACATTGTCGTGTATGTCTATTGTCAATACGATACAGTTATCCTAGTAACAGTGTCGTGTATGTCTATAGTATATACGGTACAGTTACCCTGGTATCAGTGTCGTATATGTCTATAGCAAATACGGTACAGTTACCCTAGTAACAGTGTCGTGTATGTCTATAATATATACGGTACAGTTACCTGGTATCAGTGTCGTATATGTCTATAGTCAATACGGTACAGTTATCCTAGTATCAGTGCCGTATATGTCTATAGTATATACGGTACAGTTATCCTAGTAACAGTGTCGTGTATGTCTATAGTCAATACGGTACAGTTATCCTAGTATCAGTGCCATATATGTCTATAGTATATACGGTACAGTTATCCTAGTATCAGTGTCATGTACGTCTATAGTATATACGGTACAGTTACCCTAGTAACAGTGTCGTGTATGTCTATAATATATACGGTACAGTTACCCTAGTATCAGTGTCGTGTATGTCTATAGTCAATACGGTACAGTTATCCTAGTAACAGTGTCGTATATGTCTATTGCAAATACGGTACAGTTACCCTGGTATCAGTGTCATATACGTCTATAATATATACGGTACAGTTACCCTAGTATCAGTGTCGTGTATGTCTATAGTCAATACGGTACAGTTACCCTAGTAACAGTGTCGTATATGTCTATAGCAAATACGGTACAGTTACCCTGGTATCAGTGTCATGTACGTCTATAATATATACGGTACAGTTACCCTAGTATCAGTGTAATGTACGTCTATAGTATATACGTTACAGTTACCCTAGTAACAGTGTCGTGTATGTCTATAATATATACGGTACAGTTACCCTAGTAACAGTGTCGTGTTTGTCTATAGTATATACGGTACAGTTATCCTAGTAACAGTGTCGTGTATGTCTATAATATATACGGTACAGTTACCCTAGTAACAGTGTCGTGTTTGTCTATAGTATATACGGTACAGTTATCCTAGTATCAGTGTCGTATATGTCTATAGTATATACGGTACAGTTACCCTGGTATCAGTGTCGTATATGTCTATAGCAAATACGGTACAGTTACCCTAGTAACAGTGTCGTGTTTGTCTATAGTCAATACGGTACAGTTATCCTAGTATCAGTGTCGTATATGTCTATAGTATATATGGTACAGTTACCCTGGTATCAGTGTCGTATATGTCTATAGTATATACGGTACAGTTACCCTAGTAACAGTGTCGTGTTTGTCTATAGTCAATACGGTACAGTTACCCTGGTATCTGTGTCGTATATGTCTATAGTATATATTGTACTGTTTCACAAGTACATGTGTCGTGCACGTCTATATTCTATACAGAACAACAGTCAAATGTACCTGATAATTAGTGATGTGAACGGCTTTAGTATATACAGAACAGTTCCTTATTACACTGTACCAGTGTCGTTCGCGTGTATAGTAGCATGTACAATGATCAGTACATTTGTCCTAGTATCAGTATCGTGTAAGAAGACCAGTTACTCTAGTCCCAGTTTTGTGTGTTCAGAACAGTTTCCCAAATACCAGTGTTGTGTAAACAGAGCAGTTTCCCTAGTACCAGTATCGTGGAAGAAGAACAGTTACCATAGTGGCAGTGTTGTGTAAGCCGACCAATTACCCTAGTACTAGTGTTGTGTAAGCACAGCAGTTACCCTAGTACCAGTGTTGTGTAAGCAGAGCAGTTACCCTAGTTCCAGTGTTGTGTAAGCAGAGCAGTTTCCCTAGTACCAGTATCCTGTAAGAAGAACAGTTACCATAGTGTCAGTGTTGTGTAAGCAGACCAATTACCCTAGTACCAGTGTTGTGTGAGCAGAGCAGTTACCCTAGTACCAGTGTTGTGTAAGCAGAGCAGTCACCCTAGTACCAGTGTTGTGTACACAGAGCAGTTTCCCTAGTACCAGTATCGTGTAAGAAGAACAGTTACCATAGTGTCAGTGTTGTGTAAGCAGACCAATTACCCTAGTACTAGTGTTGTGTAAGCAGACCAATTACCCTAGTACCAGTGTTGTGTAAGCAGAGCAGTCACCCTAGTACCAGTGTTGTGTACCCAGAGCAGTTTCCCTAGTACCAGTATCGTGTAAGAAGAACAGTTACCATAGTGGCGGTGTTGTGTAAGCAGACCAATTACCCTAGTACTAGTATCGTGTAAGCAGAGCAGTTACCCTAGTACCGGTGTTGTGTAAGCAGTTCAGTTACCCTAGTACCAGTGTTGTGTAAGCAGACCAGTTACCTTAGTACCAGTGTTGTGTAAACAGACCAGTTACCCTAGTACCAGTGTTGTGTAAGCAGAGCAGTTACCCTAGTACCAGTGTTGTGTAAGCAGAGCAGTTACCCTAGTGCCAGTATCGTGTAGGCAGAGCAGTTACCTTAGTACCAGTGTTGTGTGATCAGAGCAGTTACCCTAGTACCAGTGTTGTGTAAGCAGATCAGTTACCCTAGTACCAGTGTTGTGTAAGCAGAGCAGTTACCCTAGTAACAGTATCGTGTAAGCAGAGCAGTTACCCTATATATGTACCAGTATCGTGTAAGCAGAGCAGTTACCCTAGTACCAGTGTTGTGTAAGCAGAACAGTTACCCTAGTACAAGTGTTGTGTAAACAGAGCAGTTTACCTAGCCGCAGTGTTGTTTACGTCTTTATTTTAAACGGTACAGTTACCCTAGTGGTAGTGTTGTGTACGTCTTTACTTTAAACTATAGAGTTACCCTAGTACCAGTGTTTTGTGTGTCTAAAGTATACTACAATGTAGTATATATACAATGCACTGTTCATTTATCCTAGTACAAGTGTCGTATACGTCAATAGTATATTGATCAAGTGTGGATTCTGTTTTATAAATACATTACGTTCTGATTAAATACATTTTCATTTTTTTAACTTGAATAGAAACACATATTTTATTAACCAACCGGCTCATTCCATGGTACTCGTAATAGTAGAGGATGTCCGCAGTGACATGGTCGGCTGACTCCGATATCTCAGTGATCTAAAACAATCCAATGAAATGCTATCCTTGTTTTTAAGTCAATCCTCAAACATGTTTTGCATATTTTCCCTGTCTCGTTATTGAACGATTCGGGAATATTTGAACTGTCGTGGCTGCATAAATCAATATCTCTTAGTGCTTTGATGTTTAGCTCACCTGTCTGAAGGGCAAATAAGCTTATGCCATGGTGCGACGTCTGTCGTTCGTCGTCCATCCGTCACCTTTACATTTAAAACGCTTCTAGTCCTGAACGACTCAGTGGATTTTAAAGAGGATTCCATTTTGGTATAAAGGGAGGTTGTGGCTCCATGGGGTTAGAAAGATGTGGCCGTAATAGAGGAAATTGAGGTAAACCTTTAAAATTCTCCTCCTGTACAAATGGAGGGTTTTTTACCAATTCTGTTTTGACATCTTTGAAGGGGATTTCAATTTTGTATAACCGGAGGGTGTGACTCCTCTGGGTGCAAAAGGCGGGGCCCATTAGGAGGATTAGAACCAAATTTGGTATGGAGCATCCTTTAACGATTGGTATGACGCCCTCGGGGCTGAGGGACAGTGCCAAAAGGGGTTATTTTACCATATTGCTTAAAACGACTTCTTTTCTGGACTTATCAACAATATTTGGTCTGGAGCATTCTTCAGTGGTTGATGATTCGAATTGTACCAGTTGGACTGACCTCTAGGTCTGATGAGCGGGGCAAAAAATCCAGACTTTTTTACTTGGGCTTTGTCGAGACCCCCACCCTATCACCATGTAAACATTTGCTGAGAAACACAATCATGAAATAACAATTACTATTGGGATCTGAACCCACCCCTAGGGACTTGATTTCTGAGCAATAACTTTAAACTGTTGATATACATGTACCCACTCTATAACCATATGTACCATTGCTGGACATCAAGAGATGAACTCAATCAAGATATCAGTATTGACCATAGAGACTGGCCTTACCCATAGTGACTTTATATCACTTCAGATCCCTTCCTCATAACCATATATACATTTGATATGCATAAGAGATGAATACAGTCATGATAATATAATTGATCGATTGGTCTGGTCCCATCCCTTGGAACTTTATTCCTGAGCTTTAACTTTTAATAGTTGTGATCCCCACGCCATTACAATTTGTCACCTTTCTAACTTGTAACACTCTTTCTGATTGGATGTCTTGCCGGGGTCTATATTTCTATAGACCCAGCTCTGCGCCGGGGTCTATAAAAGCACGTGCGAGGGGAAATCACACAAACTACAAGTTTTCTTCATAGCAACAAAGATGGCGTCCGACACACACAAGCGTTCGAAGTTTACAGATCATTCACAGGATGAAATAGCCTACAGGCAATCTAAAACGACAACAAATTCAACTAAACACATTGATGGGGCCTCCAGGGTGCTTATTGCAAAGATGGTTTTGTTTTGTCCACAATATTACTGAAAAGATGTCCGGTATGGGCTACTTTGTTAGTAGTCAAGTAAGGTGACAGTACCCAAATCGGATCACCTTTTGCAAAAATACTTATAAATCGATAAATGTGTCAACAAATCAGTTATAACAATGATGTAGCCTTATACTAGATAGCCATGCAATATGTTTTGTCTACAGATGGTTAGTTTTTAAGTTCAAATAACACCAGATAACGTAATTCAAACTCAAATTTCAGTGTTTTGTTTTAAAAAATGGCGCGTGCGACGACTATACATTCTGCTTTGGACTATAGGAATAAATTCACACTATAGAAATCCTTGTTTTTCATATAAATTCTAAAGGTCATCATAACATGTTAATATGCTGACAACAAATATTAATTTGAAGTGTAAGATACTGCAAAATTCAAGCCTTGATCCGATACGGATGCTGACATTCGCAAAAAAATGGAAATGGTGATTGGTGACTTCAGAGCGTTCTATAAATGTCTCCAGTGAACCTCGGTGCTAATTAAGTTTGTAAGAACATCCATCGATATTCTTCTTTTGATACAACCATAGCTTAATATATTTCCTCCTCAGATTTTTTAATGAATGAATAAAAGGATGGTTTGGTGATACGTTTTGGGTACTGTCACCGTACAACTGAAACTCACAAAGTGACTTATAATTTTGCAGGCAATAATGTAATAACAGATTGTCAGGGTGATACATTCGTTATCTCTGGGTTAGAAGTGGTCTACTGACTCATAGACCCATCCTAACCCAGAAATAACTAATAATATACCATTATTTGGCTTCAGGAGACCAACACAATCATGATATCAATATTGATTCTTAGGTTTGAACTTACTTTTTGGGCCATAAGTTTAAAATGTTTCTGATCCCCACCCAAAAACCATATAAATATTTGATAGGCATAAAGAGATACAAACGGTCGTAATTAATAATTGACCATGGGGTCTGGTTCCACATCTCCAGGGACTCACATATTAGGTCATAACTTTGAAATGGTTGAGATCCCCACCCTTTAACCATATCTTCCATTACTGGACATCAAGAGACGAACACAATTTTGCTATCAATATTGCCTTTTCGTTGGGTCCTAGGGACATAATTTCTGGGTTTTAACTTTGAATTGGTTGCGATCCTGAACTCATAGCCATATTTACCATTGTTGGGCATAAATATCAAGGTGAGCGATACAGGCCCTAAGAGCATCTAGTTGATAGTGTGTACATGTATGCAGTGATTAAGTAAACGTGAAGATAATGCAACAATCAATTATTTTTGGCATATGTTAATACTATTCTATTTATGACATAAACCTACCTTTTCTAGCCATATGTCTTCACATATCTTGTTCTCTGAAGTTCCGAGGTTGACGTATCCCTTCATACGAAAAATATCAGCTATATTGTTATATACAAAAATTATGTGCACGCATTGTACAAGTATAATGATGAACGGAATAATTAAGAACACTTTTTTGATTTGAACAAAATGCAACAAAAAGATACACTAAACCGGGAAATTTTCGCTCAGTCAAATTTCGCCCTTCACCTATAAAATTCGTATTCGCCAAGTTTTAGTTCACCTGTTTAATAATGTTCACTGTAATAGTAACTTCGCCTTCTTTACGTAGGGCAAACAAGGCGATAATCAGACTGTGGCGAAAATGTCCACTTAACTGTAAATCCTCTAAATTAGGAAGCGTAAGCGTCTTTTACATGAACGTCGACAAAGACAGACACCTTATAATAAAGGTACTGTCAAATGCTGAAATCGGAAACGGGTGTAGTGATAACAAAACAACGAGGCAATTTATGAGCATAATGAAAAACATTTCAGCATATTTCCAATTGAGATCATGATAGCGAACTGGAACTTGTCCAGAGTCTTCATTAACTGGCATTCCTCGCAATCCTGTGTTATAAGTTAGCCCGTCCGGTCCCGATATCCATCATTGATATCATGATAGCGAACTGGAACTTGTCCAGAGTCTTCATTAACTGGCATTCCTCGCAATCTTGTGTTATAAGTTAGCCCGTCCGGTCCCGATATCCATCATTGATATTATGATAGCGAACTGGAACTTGTCCAGAGTCTTTATTAACTGGCATTCCTCGCAATCCTGTGTTATAAGTTAGCGCGTCGGGGCACGAGATCCATCATTGATATCATTATAGCGAACTGGAACTTGTCCAGAGTCTTTATTAACTGGCATTCCTCGCAATCCTGTGTTATAAGTTAGCCCGTCCGGTCCCGATATCCATCATTGATATTATGATAGCGAAGTGGAACTTGTCCAGAGTCTTCATTAACTGGCATTCCTCGCAATCTTGTGTTATAAGTTAGCCCGTCCGGTCCCGATATCCATCATTGATATTATGATAGCGAAGTGGAACTTGTCCAGAGTCTTCATTAACTGGCATTCCTCGGAATCCCGTGTTATAAGTTAGCCCGTCAGGTCTCGATATCCATCATTGAATTCATGATAGCGAACTGGAACTTGTCCAGAGTCTTTATTAACTGGCATTCTTCGCAATCCTGTGTTATAAGTTAGCCCGTCAGGTCTCGATATCCATCATTGAGATCATGATAACGAACTGGAACTTGTCCAGAGTCTTCATTAACTGGCATTCCTCGGAATCCTGTGTTATACGTTAGCCCGTCCGGTCTCGATATCATGTGAATTGCACGTGAGTTTCACGTGAAATTCACGTGAAAAATATTTGGCTGTGTAGTTTACGAGGGAAATATAAAGAGGGCTAAGATGTCAAAATGACGTTTAGGTCCTAGCTTTGTTGTTTTCAAAGATCATTTGTGTATATTAACTTTTGGTAATCGCAATACAGAAATACATATCAAATGGGAATTATAAGATTTCTTTTGCAATGCGAACAAATAAGTAAAACTAGAAACTGCCAGTTTAATACCATCTTATATACATGTAAATTCATGTAAAATTGACCTCTGTGATTGTACAGTCGTAAATATCTCTTCGCTCAGTATTAAAATACCAGGATCCCTTCTATAGGGAAAGATGTCCCTGAAAGTTTGCTGACTAAGCCTTCTTCTAGTTGTACATGTCAGTCCATAACAAGATGCACAGTTGTGGCGAGGGCCACTTAAATCTAATAACATTACAAAGATGCATGACGTGTAATGTAATGAAATATTATATTGCGAATTGTTTTCGAAATGATTCGGATAAAGTCAACGCTAAAATTGCTGCTTGTCATATTGTGGAATGCCATGCTCCTTTAGTTTCAGAACATGTTATGAGAAGCACTTTACAAGAAGCTTTGCTCTAATGAAGAAATGCTGAAACACGCTGAACTCAATAATGTCATTGAATACATGTTCGTTATAATTAAGATTTTGTAAAAATCATACCGGTTTTCACAAGTTGTATATGATACGCATACTATTCTTGAACAACTTCATGTATATTTACTTACTATAATTATTTGACCCTACCGCGATTACTTTATGTATTTTTATGCATATCGGTTTTTGGTTCCGACCTTGTCCTGGTGCAGGGACTTTTTTCCACGCAGGTAAATACACGTGTCATGCAATTCAAAAGTAGCAGATACAGTTAATTTTGATGTTTTCTTGTACTTATTTTCAAGCCAGACGCACTGTTCGCATTAACATACTGAAAAATGGGCGTGGTCATGAGTATTGTTGGTTATATAACTTTTAAAGAAACCTGTATTACGAACTACAATCTTCAATGGATTGAAATTACTAATCATCCTTGTTACCTGTGGATTGGTGGCTTCATCATAACTACTGGACATTGTTTTCAAGAAGTTGATCAAAAGGAAATCATTCTTTGAGGTTTCCTGTGCCCTTTTTGAAAGCATTTCTGAAATGTGAAGAATGAAATAATAAGAGTGAACCTTATCTTTCATGTTATAACTGATTGTGATCGGCCACAGAAAAACAACCTTTTTGCCCATTTTGTGGTATTTTGACCGCTTGATGAATTATTTCTGTTAAAACTAAGGCCCGTTTAATTTTTATTCAAGCAATTGCACAGCAAAGTGTAAAACAGCGAACAATCAATTTTGGAATAAGACGTTGTTTTGGGTGTGCAGACAACAGATCATAAGAACATACTATATAGTTTCAAAGCGGGACCGACAGGTGTACAGTTTAAAGCAAATTTATGTTATAACCGCCAGTACAAAGAACATACGCACACTCAACATCCTGACTAAGTTTACCAAGAACTACGTTCACTGTTTAAGAAAACATGTTAGTAAACCTCATATTTATGACAGCATGTGTACAAGGAGGGCAATATTCTCGCTATAGCCACTATTGACATTGTACTAAAGGATTGTGTTAGCAAGTTGTCATGACGTATGACTCTACAGCAAACTGAACGGTCAGAAATACGGCTTTAACAGTCCTTTTTTTTGGTAGTTCCCATACTTGTGAGTGCTCGATCTGTTTGCCGACAGGTAGAATGGTTAGGTAGGAGGACAAAACATTAGCAAAATATCCGCGTCGTTGCCTTTCGTTCAATGTTAGTCTGTGATCTCATATATTATTTAAAAAAAACACACATTTCTATAGTCAATACATTGGCTTGTTCATTTTATGTAAAATATAATTGAAGTAAAATAATCGTTAGCCTACTTAAATTATCATAATTATATGTAATACACAGTTTTGGTTATTTTTTATTTTCTTTAATATTCTAGTTTTTCAAATAAATGTCAACTTATTATTTTATGAAACGGGATTCTTTTCAAACAAGTTTGTGATAAAATGCAATGTATCACTTGCTTATTGCATTTATCAAATTTGATTGAAGACTAAATGCAAAATGGATGTATACACCGTATCTTAGTTGTACATCTGTTTTATTCCATATTGTATTTTCAGTATATATAATAAATCATATTAAGTATTAATAAAGAGTTTCATTGCGTCTACAAACCCCCATGAACTTACATTAAATGTATGTGCATGCTATAGCACACACAATGAATATATGTTATGTCTCACATATCTCACCTCAAATACTGAAAACTTGATTACCGATATGCCACACACCGACAAGACCATTGGCATCGTGTTACTTAGTATCTCATATCAATAATGCCCTGTGAAACAGACTAGATTTCTAGCGACCACTGGAATGATCGAAACATGCAAAAACTTAAATGCAATATAGTTTCATACTTGCCTTTCAGTGAAAATATGTTTACAATTCATAATGAGCTAATCTTTTTTCCGTTAGATATGTAAATAGTATATGCCAGATTTCGATATTTTCTGTTTCGTTCCACACACTTACATGAAGGACGGCTGATAGCATACTGTATGTACCTCAAGTAGTACTTTAACTCACCAAAATGGAAAAAAAGCTCTCTGAATAGTTATCTTTTCTCATAAGGCTTAATTGCAAGTTCTCTTTGTACATTCGGCTTCACAAAGGAAACTCGATTCCACTACACATTGCGATGCCCCCTGTATGATTTACTTCAACCCGATAATGCATTTTGACCTTACTGAAAAGTTGCTCCTATTTAAAGACGAAAATCTCTCTTTCGCACAAAATTATCAACTGTTCCCCTGGGTTCAACAATTTACTATAGTTTAAACACTTGTTAATGATTTACTTGTTACATGTCTTAAAATAGTATCATATATATGCAAATGAGGAATTTTGAAAATTCTTAATCATATATTTTGTGAATTTAAAGTGTTTAAATCTGAATTAGTAACTTTTTTTTTTTTTTAATTATTCATGAAATAATTTGTGAACTTGAATGATATAAATCTGATTTTGTGTCTATATGTGTTTAATCTACCTCCCCTTCTCATATACAATGTTTTGTAGATTTACGTTGATTCAGCATTGATATTTGTCTTATATAATAAGTACTCAAACCAGATGAAAAATCTTTTAACAACGTGATGTTAACATGCTGTACCCCTCAATTTCATTTGAAGGAAGTGACTTGATATAAAATCTAGGCTTCTTTCCATATCTTGTTTAAATTGTTTGTAAATTTGAGTGCACCCCAATCTTTAAGTAGGCTAGTCATAAGCGTAAATATCTTTCATCGCTGAAAATAGAAATCAGGTGTTTTGAAACAAGCACTCTTACAAAATAAATTAATACAAATTTCAATATTAAAATTTCAGCTATCATTTCTTAGATGAGCTATTGAAATAGAAAAGCGTTATTTAGTTATGATTAGCCATGGGATATGTTTGATGTATTATTTGTAAAGACAATCTATATTTTACCTGCAATAACTTTAACTGGTATCCAACAAACAGCTCAGGGTAATAACACCAGAGGCGTTTCAAGATACAGATTACTTGTGGATATATCTACTTTTATGGATCAAAGATTACATATTGTCGTGCTGCCTAACGTTTAAATTGAATGCTACTGAAGTATTCATACTCATGCACATTATTGCAAAACAGACTTGTTGCAACAACGCGTAAAACCACATGTTCTAACTAGTGACACCTTATCTGTGTTCTTAAATTGTTTTAATATAAACCGTTTTCTGCATTACCCGGACCTAAGTAAAAACCGAATCCTTTAATAATGAATGCACTCATCATTTACTCCTATTGAAGCCATTTCACGGCTCTGTCAAACATCATTATTACATTGAAAGAAAAAACAAACTGTTTTGTGTTCACCTAAAAAAAATATTCTTATTTGTCGTTGTAGCACTAAACAATTCAAATTATTAACAAAACAAAAATCACAGATTTACAATCTCTATTTGAATTCATCTCCATGGTAAATTAGGCGGATCATTCTGATCGTGATTTTTATAGGATTTGTTATCAAATCATGATATTAACATATTAAATGATAATGTTTTGGACATTCACCTGATAAAAGAAACTTCTTGATATCCGAATATTTAGCCGATTTTGTTTTCTTATTGCTTCATGCGTAAGAGTTCGTTGAAGTGGTTCGTTAATTTTGATGCGTCAATCTAACGGCTTCAAAATGCAGCCAATAACAAGTATATTCATGCACACACGTTACCTCTGACATCTATCGTCTGACACTGTTTTCGCATACATTACAATTAATTTGCAAGTATAACTAGTTCGGTGAATGTTATTGCATGTAGCTTCGGTCATCATATCCAACCAAATATTTAAATATTGTCATCCCTAAACTCAACAGTTTGATCCTGTATGTGTATACTATTAAATGCCTATGACATTATGTTATATCAAGAAGATGATTTTTCTTCTTGAATACATGTTATAGATGCATATTGTATACACGTATCTATCAAAATTAATACATGTGACATTTTGAAATAGAATGCTTTGTCCCATATAGACAGTGCAGACAAAATGATTCAAACCTTTTTTCGGGTAATCTGTTTCTTTAACAAGACACAGTACAGGGAATTTTGGAACTGTTACATAATATCAAAACAAATTGAAATAATAAGTTAGTTGAAACATTGAAGACAGTTATCGACTGATAGGAATTGTCGAAATAACTTGAAAACCGTTAGATATATATGGTAATATATATTTCTGTAATAGAAATATGAAGAAATCCAGCAAGCGTAGGGAAAACTAGTAATAGAAAGAGGTTACGGAAATACAGAACATTCGTCCACGTAATATATTCCCATACACTAACATGAAGCAGCAAACAGGTTGATCTACTCCCAATTTAATGAAAGGAGAAATGATAACCAATAAAGCGAACAGTACAAGTTAATTGTTTAACTGGTTTAATAGAGAAATGGCGAATAGTACCGGTTCTTCAGGGGCCCAAAAATAATCCTCTCAATCTGGTCTGCAGATCGTCACTGTGAATAAACACGTCTGAATCGGAATTTCAAAATTTGTCTTTGAATTATTGTACAAAACATATTCTTTGTCCTTATAAAGCGACGTGTTGCATTCTTTGTTAGTTGTTCATCAGAGAAAATTTGAAAACATTTCATTTATTGTTGTTATCAAGGCTGTGAGGAAAACCGCTTAGCTGTCATGCAGAATTCCGTCCTTTGAATAAATAGCATATAAAATAGTTTATTTAAGCATTTACCTGCTTTCAGTTTGCAATCATAGACAAAATGTATGCCAACTGGACAACAGCATATTCAATGGAGCGCTATGGCTTTATGTTGGATTTGCCTTTGTCTAGTTGCAACTGAAAGCAGTTCATAACTTATATTTACCATTTTTGGAATTTGTTCATCTCATAAAAAAATCAATTGCACCTATTGTTATTCAGCATTCAGTTCAAATAAGTTAGTGTCGTGTATAATTATGCTTGTTCAATGAATATACCAGCTATCGTCCGGGGAGGGTCAGTGGTATACAACCTAACAATTGTGACGCTATAAAAATGATGTCAATAATCGGTTCATGTCATTCATAGCATAAATGAATGCCAACTGAATTGGGTAGGGTTATATAGGAAAATGCTATACGATGGTTAATACTGCTAAATGCACTATGTCGGTTTCCTTAATAAAGTGTTTAAATGATTCTGTGATCAATAAAACCACAATTCAGTAGCACGTTGCCATTTTATTTGACTCATCTTTTAGACACAATTACTTCATTTCACCTGAGATTAGTGCATGACAGTGGACATTCTTATCTAATTTTATTATTTTTCTATTTCTAATTTGGTTTTATGTTTTATTTATTTATGTTTGATTAATGAGATCTTTGCCCAACGATAGGGCGTAAAAGGGTAGTTTGTAGGGTTAAATAATTCCAGCTACCAATACGAGTTTGGTGTTGGTTTTATTATCTTTAACGTTCTATCAACAAGACGGAACTATATTAAGTTACTGTGTCGTTGTGTTGGTGTTGCTGTACGTTGTGTATTTTCATTGAGCGAACGAGAATCATGAATATACTCGAGGTATAAAAACCCATGAAATTTTTCAGGCTGAGACACATCCTGTCATCTTGGATCTTCAGTTTGTGTAACAAACATCTAGCCCAGTTGAATAATTACAGACTTTAACGTTCCAGCTGTCAAGAAGCAACATGTAAATATCACGAATGTGTTGTTTATTGCAATAAGAGCATTGCATATATAAGGCACTGTATTGTTTACGGATACATAACAAATAACATTTTTACGAGTGGGCGTCTGACAAATGACAACAAAATATGTTTGTTGGACACAAGATCAGAGTCTTACAGGTAAAATGCATGTGCGGTAGAATCGAACGTTGTTTATACAGTCACGTTTCTTTCTATGTAATCTAACTAAATTAAACAGTTTGACAATTTGACCACTTTTTTTTTTAATTTTGTGTAGTAAAAGGGAAATCTGTCTCTCAACCATCAGATGTTAGGTGATAATTGAATGAAGATTATGTGACTCGCTTAGTGAAATTTTACACTGTATATTTCTCTGAAATTCTTACATAATAATTGAAAATAATATCTTTTATTTATCAAGGGTAACATATTGAGGCAATGTCTAGTTTACAAAGTGGCAAAACAAAAAATTCAGATAATAATAAAATAGTATACGATGCATGGGTGTGGTATATACCCCTAAACTCCAGAATAATAATCGAGTACATGTGTTAGTTAAGAGTTCTTTAGACAGGAACACATTTATTTGTGATGAGGATATGATTTTTTGTTGTATTTTCACAGAAAATAGTGTTAAAGTCCCGTTAGGTTTAACACTGTCCTCACTTACTAAAATGATGTCAAGAACGTATGTAGCAATGCGACCACTATGCGTATATCGGTCTTTTCAAATAAATTGTATCCTTTGATCGAGATGTCGGAATCGTCGTTCGTACTGTCAGTATGACTTTCTGACACCGTTAATAGGTCAAAGCAATGATTCATCGGTATCTTTATAAATCCACGACAGCAATTAAAAGAGTCTACATATACCAAAAGCTTCATTTAAAAAGTAATCATGCAAGGAATTCCCACGTTTGGTTATGTTAAGGCTTTTGCTTTACGCTTCACAGGTAAAGTACAAATGGTCTATACTGGTACATGTATTTGGTTTACAATGAATGTTATTGTCTATCTGCCAAGATGAAGTATAGAATATTGATTGAATTCCTGGTTTCCAGTATTTCTGAAGTGTAAAGTAGCAAGATTTATGAACAGAAACATTGTACCCCGTATTAGTATTAATGGAAGAACAACGGCGAAGGACATGCGGGTCATTATGCTTTACCAAGTATTTCGCTTCACTTTCTGATATTACATATACAAGACTGAACTTAAATTTAAGGACAGTACTTGCTATTATACATCAGCCGTGTTCTTCCATCAGTTCCATTTCTTTCCTCAATTAAACCCATACGAAACTACGGTGATTTTCATATCAGAATTGATATTCACATGTGTGCTCCTTATATCGCAATTAAGAGTACCATTATAGACGTTGTCAGATGATGGACACGTTAACGTTGCAACTCGGGGTTTCAAGCAGTTTTTAGGGACTTGTTCTTAACATAAAGAATGTATTGAATTCAATTGTGCTCAAAGCGATTTATAGTTTATTCCCATCACAGAAAATCGAAAACCTGCACTCTTACATGAAGACTATTAAATAAGTAAAACAATGCATAACATGGCTAATGTAATAGCGTCCGTATCGCACAATATCACTTTTTCGTTCAGAGCTTAAAATTTCGTGTAATCTGAATAGCACGAGGTTTTTGTTATGTTATTACATTGGTATTTTTGATATTCTAAACTTATTCAAATTTGTTTTTCAATTTCAGAATGTCCCATTTTTCTTGCCTCAGCTACCTTTATACCAGCCCTTCCAAGCCATTCAACTATACAAGGTGGTAGCAGAAGATATTCGTTATTAAGCTTTTGGATGGATCAAGGAACAGCCTTGTACCAACACAAGTCTGTACTACCAGGGTTCTCAGCTAGCCAGATATCTGGTATCAAATGGAGTACAGGAAGGTGAAAGGATAGCTCTTATCGGCCCGTATACGTTGGAGATGGTGGTAGGGCATGTTGGAATAATGTGCGCTGGAGCAGTTATCCTGAATGTCAACATTAACATGAAATCAGCGAATGATGTACAGGAAACGTTACAGTTAACAGCCACAAAATTTGTCAAGGTCGATTAAGGGGGAAAAGGTGAACTTTTGCCTACTGTTAAAGCTATGCTTCAAAAGTCTACTTTTAAAAGAAATAATGAAAACGACAAAGGGAAAATCAGAGTTGTATTGCTTTGCGATGTGGAGTTAGATAGATTCAAGGATGCATACACTTTACACGATAGTACCCGAAAAGACATTACACATATTTGCCTCCTAGATACTTTCCTAGATGAGACAGCTGTTATTTCCACTAAATCTGTCAGTACCGGTAATCAAAAAAATAATTTTCCATACACATTTTAGTTTGGCTACATGTAATTCTTCCCGGATTTCTGAGGAAGATTATGAAATCACTGAATACAATGACATGTCATTCGGCTGGTTGGCTGGCTCTCCGGCTTTCTATATATTTATGCGAAGATCAAGGGTAGTCATGGATGCTTCTGTAGCAACTAAAGGCAAAAACACGACGTTGATCTGGCAAATGATGCAGGAGGAGAGCTGCACGGACGCCTTGTTGGGGCCATATGTCATCATCGATCTCCTTGACCTTCCGCCAAATAGCGTAGATGATGGATACAAACTACGTCATGTTGTTACCGTTGGACAGGTGATTGACAATAAATATACAGAGATCATGGGCAGGTTTTCTCATCATTTGATTGTTTTGTTTGGTTGCGCAGAGGTTGATGGTATCTCTACAAAAGGACCTCTAGTCAACGGAGACACGCTGATTTCGGGGGAGGTCGGTCGACCCTTCCCTGGTATCGTGATACGTATTGTGGATGAACTGAAACTCCGTACGCCATTAGATACTATCGGCTGGATTCCCTTGCTCAGTCCAGGTACCATGAGTGAATATTATGGAAGCCAGGAAATGACAGCAAGTTCTTTTCAGTTGCAGCAGCATATGTTGTTGGCAACTTATCTTTTTCCTGCCGTCTACTAAATAATGCATATATTTTTACAGCTGAAGCTACTGCCGTTGGTCTGGCTTTGGATGAAAATGAAAATAATAAAATTAACATAGCAATAATTTGTTCTGACTCTTTGTCATCATTACAAAGTATTAAAAATCGTAATTTGAACAATATTCTCATACAAAACATCGCCCTTCGTATTAACAGAATTTTATTGTTTTGCCACCTGATCTTGATTTGGATACCAGATCATGTCGGAATAAACGCAGCCCTTAACCTACGACCGAAAGATATTGAACTGCCTTTTTCTGATTTTAAACCATCTTTAACAAATTGCCAAAATAAATGGTCTGAAGAGTTAGACAGCAAGTTATTTGCAATTCAATCTTATCTGGGTTCATGTGCAACAAGTAGAGCAGACCGCAGAGAAGAAATTGTCCTCTCGCGACTGCGCATAGGCCATACCTACATCACACACGGTTTTATTTTGCGTAAGGAAGACCAGCCTTATTGTCATGCATGCGATCAACCATTTACTGTCAAACACTTTATGATTGAATGCGCTGATTTCAAACAAATACGTGACAGATGTTATGATGTACCGTCTATGAAAAGATTATTCGATACAGTTTCTGTGCAATTAATATTTGACTTTTTACACTCTATTGATCTTTACAATAAAATATGAAATACTGTGAAGTCAATTTATTCGATATTGATGTATTTCTTTTATCCTTTACATATTCTAATTTATTGAGTTTTGGTTTGATGTGGGTTTCTTTTCGTGAATGTCTCTTTTAACAGTATTGTTGGCCCTAAATGACTTACATTGTCGATGGGCCGTTAAACAATACAAAATACAAAAACAAAACAAACACGTTTGCAACAGGTTTATGGTTTCGAACAGGAGATGTCGGCAAGATAAGGTATAATGATAGCCTCATCAACATTGGAAGAGGAAAAGACGCTATATGAAGAGGAGGGAGAAATATTTATCCTGGTATGTTGGAAGATCTCATCAAGCAGATTCCTTCGATTACGTATGTTTGTGTCGTTCCCGTCACTGACAGAAGGCTATACGAGGAAATCTGTGTGTCCTTTGTAAAATATCACGCATCTAAACTCACAGAGGAGGACGTAAAGACGTTCTGTGGAGAAAACATCTTTACGGAAGGCACTATCGATGGAGTTAGTATACTACTACGTAACGTTTGAAAAGTTCGTTAATGCCAAATGCGACACCAAACAAAAAAAGAATACGAGATGAAGTTATATGTCGTTTATTTTTGTCTAGAGACTGGTCCGGGACATTCCGTGCCCTCCTTTCGCAGAATGTTGTTCTTTAATCCTGACCATGCAAACAAACAAAAACTGTGCACATGTTGCATATTGCTAGTAATGTGTGTTTTCCGGCAACTGTTTATCGGTTTCTCCGTAGACGGTTTATGGGTAGATACTGTAAAAAAAGTACGGGCTTCCTGCGATATGGATGTAACCGATTTGCGTTTAAACCGACAAGAAAATTTAATAAAACGCCGTTCAATTCCTTGTGATAAAACACTGACAGAAAGTGTATTAATTTGCTATGCAAACTGTCAAAACAGTACAAAATTACAAAAGATCACCTATGTTAAATTGGTATCTTGGTAGCATTTAAATATATTGATTGATTGGTTCATTTATTATGACAATGTATGCCTTTCAGCGTTTTGTATTATGCCATTGACGCCTTCCTCTTGACATACATACACGAAAAGAGTCATATAGTTTTGTAAATTGAAAAATAACACCCGTAGATGAGTGATTACAGTTTGCAAATGTAAGGTCTTTTGAAGTGTGTTGTACTATTGAGAAGAAAGGCTATTATGTCCATCCCTTATAACACATGGTCACATACTGCGAAGTCATGGTAACATCGTCGATGGTTTTATTTGTATGTATAAAAAGGGGAAAATATTAGCATTATCTAATGTCATTATATTTACAATGGGAGCGTTTTGTTAATAAGTTGATTAACACAATGACAACATTTCGAAATCATTCATATGATCAAATATAAAACTTCAAATAATCCTGACAATGACTATAGGAGTTCATTGCCCTTTCACAAATAGTCCACTTGAAATGCATTTACAATGGAAATGCAAATTTGATTTTAATTTCATTTCACTTCAGTGCATCGAACAAATCAACCTTTTATTTAAATTTCGTTAAAAAACACATTTTGAATGAGTTAACATCTCAAATGCAAAAGTTTCATTTAGTACCTGGTATGACTACCATTTGCTGAAAGGCAAATCGTATTCTTGACCTGACAGCACTACAATGTCTTCTTCGAATGAATGTTAAGGAGAGGTGACTTAACTCCAATCCAACTCATCCGAAAGTTGATCAATGTAATTAAGGTCTGTAGAGCCCGCGGGAACGAAATTAAATTGTCTTGATTGCCATTACGAAAGTCCGATGTAACCCTTGTCGTATGCGGCCGAGCATTGTCGTGTAGAAAGACATTGTTCAGATTTTGAATACGTTGAAGCAGTGGAAGGAATTCTAGAGTCAAATATCTTATCTATTTAGCGCCCTACGGTCATCTTGCTTGCGGAATATGTTCATTTTGGCTCCTCAGACCATATTGCTGCCAACACCAAACATGTCACGCTAAATAAATCTGTAAATAACGGTCATTTCGACACTGTAGACGCTTGCTCATCTGTCAGCAGATGAGTGATTGAATCACTGAACACAATGTCATACTAGATGACAACACAACATGTCAACTAGACTAACTAACGATAAACGCAACAGGACAGTGCAGTTACCACACTTTGTATTGGCTTGAAACTCCCAAAATGCATAGGAAAATCCCGAGGTCACATAAGTGTGAAGTGCTTGATTGTATCTTGATGCGTATTTGTATGTGAATCGTCGAATAACCACGGGTATGATAAATATACATGTAGTATTGATCGTGCACTTGCCTTTCTTTCTTTCTCAAATTAGTATCAATGATGCCGAATCTCGATTTGAGAACCTCGTTGATTAGGTAGATATACACAAAGTATGTGCCCGGAATATATTCATGCGTATACATTAAGAAGCGTTCATTTTACCTCTAGACGACTTGAACATGTGTGTGTTAGTTAGAGTTGTATTTAAACTAGTCGACCAGAACACTGCCTTGTTTCGACCCTCGTTGACTTTCTGGTAGGATACCAGCTATTACAGGTGAAGTATATGCTATATATGTGTTTCAAGTGTCACACAATTCGTATATGATTAAGAAATAACCTTCTGATGAAAAGCGTATTTTGTCTAAATTTACTTAACTATGCCTTACACATCTAAAGTAAATCCTAAGCATTTTTGTGTCGTTCAATATGTATCGGTAAGCAGCTATTAGAAAGCGTTAACTGCAATTCTTGCATGTGAACAATGAAATAAAAGAAATTGTGTCGACATTTGTACGCACGTTGTTCCTCTTCAAGTCGGTCTTCAAACGTTGCGACACGTTTAATACATGTACATACATTGTTTGTGTAGGGAGTAAAATGTTGATATTACATATTTCCAGCTGATCAATCTTTTTAAATTCCAAGAAATCGTTTTAATCTTAGAAAATAAATTGGCTTTTGCCCAGCCGTTAACAATTAATCTGTCTAAAACTTTGTGTAAAAGTGAGCATAAGTGTACCTTAACTAATGCAATTCTTACCCAAAACCATTTATAAAGGTGAAAATAAATGTACCTACAAGAATATAATCCTTACCAAAAACCATTTATAAAGGTGGAAATACATGTATCTACAATAATGTAATCCTTACCAAAAACCATTTATAAAGGTGGAAATACATGTACCTACAATAATGCAATTCTTACCTAAAACCGTTGATAAAGGTGGAAATACATGTACCTACAATAATGCAATTCTTACCTAAAACCATTTATAAAGGTGGAAATAAATGTACCTACAAGAATATAATCCTTACCAAAAAACATTTATAAAGGTGGAAATACATGTATCTACAATAATGTAATCCTTACCAAAACCCATTTATAAAGGTGGAAATACATGTACCTACAATAATGCAATTCTTACCTAAAACCGTTGATAAGGGTGGAAATACATGTACCTACAATAATGCAATTCTTACCTAAAACCGTTGATAAAGGTGGAAATACATGTATCTACAATAATGAAATCCTTACCAAAAACCATTTATAAAGGTGGAAATACATGTACCTACAATAATGTAATTCTTACCTAAAACTATTTGTAAAGGTGGACATACATGTACCTACAATAACACAATCCCTGCCTAAAACCTTGAATAAAAGTGAGCAAAAATGTACCTCCAATAATGCAATCCTTGTTTAAAAGCATATATAAAGGTGGGCATACACGTACCTACAATAATGCAATCCTTACTTAAAACCATTTAAAAAGGTAGACATGCATGTACCTACAATAACACAATCCCTGCCTAAAACCTTGTATACAAGTGAGAAAAAATTGAACCTCCAATAATGCCATCCTTGTTTAAAAGCATATATAAATGTGGAAATACATGTACCTACAATAATGTAATCATTACCTAAAACCATTTATAAAGGTAGACATGCATGTACCTACAATAACACAATCCCTGCCTAAAACCTTGTTTACAAGTGAGAAAAAATTGAACCTCCAATAATGCCAATCTTGTTTAAAAGCATATATAAATGTGGAAATACATGTACCTACAATAATGTAATCCTTACCTAAAACCATGTATAATAGTGGACATACATGAACAGTAGCTACAATAACGCAATCCTTACTTAAAACCGTGTATAATGGTGGACATACATGTACCTACATGTACAATAATTCAAACCTGCCCAAAACCATATATATTGGTGGACATACTTGTACCTGCAATAATTTAAAGGTGGAAATACATGTACCTACAATAATGCAAACCCTGCCCAAAACCATGTATAATGGTGAACATACATGAACAGTAGCTACAATAACGCAATCCTTACTTAAAACCGTGTATAATGGTGGATATACATGAACAGTACCTACAATAACGCAATCCTTACTTAAAACCATGTATAATGGTGAACATACATGAACAGTACCTACAATAACGCAATCCTTACTTAAAACCGTGTATAATGGTGGACATACATGTACCTACATGTACAATAATTCAAACCTGCCCAAAACCATATATATTGGTGGACATACTTGTACCTGCAATAATTTAAAGGTGGAAATACATGTACCTACAATAATGCAAACCCTGCCCAAAACCATGTATAATGGTGAACATACATGAACAGTACCTACAATTATGCAATCCTTACTAAAAAGCATGTATAAAGGTGGACATACTTGTATCTACAATAATGCAATCCTTACTTAAAAGCATGTATAAAGGTGGACATACTTGTATCTAAAATAATGCAATCCTTACTTAAAAGCATGTATAAAGGTGGACATACTTGTACCTACAATAATTCAAAACCTGCCCAAAACCATATATAAAGGTGGACATAGTTTCATATACCTACAATAGTGCAATTCCTGCCTAAAACCATATATAAAGGTGCGAATACATGTACCTACAATAGTGCTATCCCTGCCCAAAACCATGTGTAAAGGTGGGCATTTATGTACCAACAATAATGCATTTCCGGAGTACTTCGTGCAAAACCTCAACACTCCTCTTGGTTTGACTATACATGATCAAAGCACATTGATTGTATACACCTGGTGACAGGAGTTGACAACGCTATTGTTAAGGAACAAACGTGGTAACGACCGACTGCTATTTGATAAGGTTCGAATACAAAATTGCTGCATGAAGTGAACATCGAAATAGCATATTTTCATGTGTGTGATTCTGGTGTGTGGCAATATTGTAGATTTTATGCAACACCGGTGTTGGTATACAATATCAATTAGGTAAGTAGTGTTAAGGGCACACGAATGAAATTATAAAGTTACATTTTACTGAATCGTAGCAGAATTGATATATGAGATGCGTTTTTTGAATTTATAGATAATATAATTTATGCCCCTGCACTCATAACAAGCAAAACTCAGACAACAATATGATGAAAATTGCCACCAGATTGGTGACATTGAATTCATTAATATAAATAGATCCACACTAGGGCATAAAATCCATAATATATGGAAAATTATATGAAAAATTGAATAACCCAGTAGCTGCCACCACACATGCATGGCAGCCACTACTACATACTATAACAGCTAGCCCAAGTGGGGTTGCCAAAAAACGCAAAACATTGTTCAATGGTGGGGTTGCCAAACACATCTTTACATGATTACTGCGAGCCGGCTGCCCCAACCCTGTTAATTAGGAAAGTAGGTTTACCCAATACTCCCACCAGTCGGCAAGTGTTGTCTCACTTCAGCATAAACTTGCAACAACCTGCCAGATTACAAATTATATACATCTAATGATAAACAGTACAAGGTAATCATGGACAATGTTAAACACTACATCTGTACAACCTACGCTCCTTTAAAACAAAGAAATAAAATATTGACGACAGAAAGGGTGGGAAGAGGAGGGCTTAAAATAAATTATCATGAGAGCTTGATGAGCGTACAAACACAGTGGCTGCCTGATGCGGGGATATGTCCCAGAGTGAGATAGAGTCTCTGAGATAACCTCTGACTCCTTGACGAATCAGTGACCAGCCTCAGGAACCCTGACGCTGTCATCGGCAGTCAATCATTGAACCGTTTATTGTGCCAACAATTCAAGCTCCAAAATTTAAATTTAAATAACAATAAATCTACTTTACTTGTTATGACGTTACGAGCATAAATTAAGCTAATTGTTTAGCTGCCTTATACAACATTTGATATAGGGCTCTATCTAGCTATCGATAGCCACTCTAAAGAGCTTTACAGCATAAAGATATACACTTAACATGTATATTAATCAACACAATGTTGAGGAGTTCGCAGGAGCTGCCTTATCAGGCGCTAACAACTAGTCATATTCCATCCGGCTAATATCTCCCTATGTGTGTATACCTGCCTGTGTGCTGGGGATGTAATGTGTTCTGTATGTAGTGGGACCGTGCTTCCAACGGCATCATTTATAGCGTCACCTCACTTGAATGCTACGGCACAGATACTGCAACATCCACCCCAGACCAATTTATACTTCACCTGGGTTATGTGGGCAGGAGGAAACACTTTCTCTGAATATCCATACGTACGACGACTTCGGAGATCGAACCCCTGTCAGCTGCATGGAAGGCCGGAGTGTAAACTACACGACCAATCTGCCCCTCATACATCCTGTTCAAATTGCTTGATTTAATTATTTTGGGCCCTTCGTGTAGGTGACCGATTTAGGGTAGGACCATGTTATGTGAGTGTTGTTTTTGTTTTTGCTTGTGTTTTATGTAGGTGGCCGTTTTACGGTTAGACCAGGCTGTGTATTTTTTCGATGTTTTGATATTGCAATCTTATTATAGAGATCTGATACTAAACGTAACACATTTACTATAATGATATAGTATTTGCTTTATTGCGTTCATTGTATAGTTTACATAGTCTATTACAAACTATATGCTGAATTTTATAAAGCAGGTTTTTAATTTCTATGATCTATAATTTGTAAATATCAGCATTTTACAATATTGTGATGTCATTGAGAACCTATACGAAATACACAGCTTTGCTGGCAAACATCACAATGTTCTTTTGTATTTAGATTTTTTGTTTGCTGAACTGCCATATCAACAAGTTTTAATATTTTTAAAATTATATAAAGCCATTACATTGGAGAGGTTCTAGTCAGGTATATGTCATATTTTCAAAACTGAAAGTGGTATTATATATATATTGCATACAAACACATCTATATGACTTTATATTGATTTTGTTATTATTTAAACTGCACAACCCGCTACAAATATGCAGCTAATAAGCCTTAAACCGAAAACGAAAATAACGTTAATATATATCATGGAAAGAATCACTGACCACTCGAGGTTCAATCTTATTGAAAGCAGATACATTTTAGTTTTTTTGCAATCTACACAATGTAGACAGTATCAATCAATAGCTTTCACAACCATTTTTATTAGCCATGACAGATATATCATAATCAGTTAAGTACATTATTTAGTCGTGGTACCTATATACATGTAATGACTATATGAAAAGACTGCACTGTAGTACATTCAACTTCAAAAACATGTTTTGGTTGCTGTTTTGTTTCACAAATAAGCAATGCTTGGTTTCCAAGTTAAATATTTAAAAGTGTCGATACTGTAATAAAGCAGGCGAATGTCTGCACTCAATATAAGCATGTGAAGTCAGACAAAAGTCTGTTATCACTATAAACATGTGAAGCCAGACTAACGTCTGCACTCACTATAAACATATGAAGCCATAATAAAGTCTGCACTCACTATAAACATGTGAAGCCAGACTAAAGTCTTCACTCACTATAAATATATGAAGCCAAAATAAAGTCTGCACTCACTATAAACATATGAAGCCAGAATAAAGTCTGCACTCACTATAAACATGTGAAGCCAGACTAAAGTCTGCACTCACTATAAACCTATGAAGCCAAAATAAAGTCTGCACTCACTATAAACATGTGAAGCCAGACTAAAGTCTGCATGCACTCACTTTAAACATATGAAGCCAGAACAAAGTCTGCACTCGTTTTAAAAATGTAAAGTCATACAAAAGTCTGCACTCACTATAAACATGTAAAGCCAGAATAAAGTCTGCACTCACTTTAAACATGTGAAGCCAGAATAAAGTCTGCATTCACTATGAACATGTGAAGCCAGACAAAAGGATGCACTCACTATAAACATGTGAAAGCCAGACTTAGGTCTGCACTCACTATAAACATCTGAAGCCAGACAAAAGTCTAATGGTATAAAACGATCGCAATGTAAACTTATTCGAAAAAATGTAGGTTAATCATTACCCCTTTTAATTTATATAGCACATGCGACTAATGAGTTAAACATGCGTTTAGAAGATTTACGTTTTGTTCCGTTCCGTTTAATTTTTGGATTCCATTATGATGAACAAATAAACAACCAGTTTTCTTTAGGATATGAAATTACTCGGATTTTACCCAGAGTTTGTGTCAATATATTTACCTATTCCGAATTACATGATGTACTGTTTTTTAAGGTCTCTCTGTCAATCTTTCTACGTTCATTATCGATTTTGGGTTTGCATTGTGGTTTCCTTTACACAAATGTTTATATATAAATTTGCTACTGTTGTATGATTTTCATATTAAAACCATCGATTATTGTTTGGCTAACCATTTTTTTATATCGAACAAAGGCTTGCATTGTTTAATGAACCCTTTGGAAAAGTATATTTATTTTATTTTTAAACAATCTTTACGACATTGGAACCCATTTATCGAAATACCGAAGTTTTCCAAGTTTTTCCCATGAATGTCTACATTGGTATTTGGCAATAGTATAGCGTTTGCGTCACTAGCTTGGATGGAGGATTTTAAATTTGGTAGAAAATAACATTACACATACAATAATATAGACACTTATCAATACCGAAAGGTAAAACTTGATAAAAAAAAAAAAAAAAGAGAAATGGAACATGGGATAGTGTAGATTAGTGAAATCCGAAAGGATATGTGTCATGTACAAGACCGTTCATGTAATAGAAAGAAAGTTCAATGTGTTCATTTTCTTTGTCTTTTCAGATCAACAATATGGCCTCTCAGTCACGCCTGAGCTACTTATATTCCTGTCCGGCTAAGCCATTTAACTATACAACCCTTCCGAGAGTTGTAAAGGACAACTCCAAGACCCACCCAGACCAAGAAATATTCGTCATCAGGAGATTGGACGGTTCCAGGTCTAGCTTAACCAACACCAGTCTGTACCACCAGAGTTCTCAGCTGGCGAAATACCTGGCATCAATTGGAATACAGAAAGGTGATAGGGTCGCTCTTATCGGCCCAAATACTTTGGAGATGGTGGTTGGTTATGTTGGAATAATGTGCGCAGGAGCAGTTGTCCTGAATGTCAATATAGACATGACAACTGATCAGAATGCACACGAAACGTTCCGATTAACTGGCACAAAATTAGTAGTTGTTGATTCAGGAGAAAAAGCCGAACTGTTGCCGGCTATAAAAGCTATGCTTCAGCATTCCAATTTTCAAAATGACCAGGAACAAGGGAAAGAACATATCAATGTTGCAATGCTTCGCACTGCAAATTTAGATGGATATCAGGATGTACCGACTTTCAAAAGCATAGCCGCTAAGGACCTAAGTCACATAGCTCTGCCAGAAACGTTTCCTGAGGAGCCAGCAGTTATCTTCACCACGTCTGGTAGCACAGGAAAACCGAAGATGGTTGTTCATACACATAACAACTTGGCTTGTTCTCCATTCTCTTGGATCCCGGATGTGGACTATGAAAGCATTGATTACAACGACCGACCCTTCAGCTGGATAGGTGGTACTCCAGTGTTCCATATTTTGCTGCGGAGATCAAGAATTTTTATGAATTCTGCTTTGACAATAAATGGCAAAAACACCGATTTTTTATGGAAAGTGATGAAAGAAGAAAGATGCTCGGATGCGCTTTTGTTTCCATACATTATCCGCGATCTTCTTGATCTATCGCAAAAAAACACAGACGATGGATATAGGCTTAATCACGTTGCCACTGGTGGACAGATGATCGACAGTCTGTATGCTAAGATCATGGACAAATTTTGTAACCACTTGGTCATTGTGTACGGTTGCACGGAGATTATGGCTACCAATATGTTTGGACCTTTAGTCAAAGGGGACACTTTGATATCGGGTGAGGTCGGTAGACCATACCCAGGTGTCGAGGTACGTATTGTTGATGAGCAGGAACTTCCTGTCCTCAAAGGTACTGTTGGCAAGGTCCAGTTGCGCGGTCCCTCTTCAATGAGAGAATACTATGGAGACCAGCAACTCACAGCAAATTCGTTTGCAACAGGTGCGTGGTTTCGAACGGGCGACATCGGGAAAATTAGTTGCAATGACAGTCTGGTCATTATTGGAAGAGAAAAGGATGTTATATCAAGAGGAGGACGCAAAATTTACCCCGGCATGCTTGAAGACCTTATCAAGCATATTCCATTCATCAAGTATGTATGTGTCGTTCCCGTCCCTGACAGAAGACTGTACGAAGAAATCTGTGTGTGTTTTATGAGATCGGACGCGTCTGAAATGACCAAAGAGGATGTCAAGAAATTCTGTGAGGAACACCTCTATGCTGATGGCACAGTTGACGGGATCGGTGTGATGCCTGCGTACTACGTACAGTTTGAAGAGTTTCCGTTATTGTCAAATGGGAAACCCGATAAAGGGGCAATACGAGACGAAGCTGTCAATCGTTTACATTTATCTCTAAATTAATCCATGACACAAAGTTTCCGCTACATTGGAAGTGATACATAGAGACTAATTGAGCAATGCACGTACATTTAATTGTCTTACCTAACAAGGGGTCGCCGAGGCCATTTAAGATGTTGGATTGGAAACAATAGATAATTGAACATAAAAACGCATTCATGGATGAAAAATAATAGCAAAACTAATTAGAAATAGTTTCTATTGTGACAGGAATAATAAAAGGATTATTCATATGACCCTTATGCCGTCAGAACAAACAAAGTATAAAATGATCAGCATATCAGAACTAGTATGATAGCGGTAATTGTCTTAGCTTATGAGAGAGAAAAAAAAAACATTGGACTTTTATAGCTTATTGAATAATTCAGAATTCACATTATAGCTATGCATATTAGTTAATAGTTTAATTGTATATTTGGTTTGATTCTTATACGAACAAAGGCATGAGAGACGACATTAAGACCTCCCCAATATATCTTTCAAGAGCACCCTATCATTGAAATTGTTCAGGGAAGTACATTATAAAACTTTGAGAATACGCAAAGATAATGCAATAATATCATGTCGGTAGATTTTCAGGGGAACTATATTTCAAAGTTTGGCAGGCGTTAAAGAGAATAACATAAACATTAACTAAATAACCTAATAGACAATAATGTAATTATGCTAGTTCCATGTAAGTAGCTACTCTAGAGTCGTAGTATATTGTATGATCAAGCTTGTTCTCTGTGTACTTTAATCTAACTCGGTCCAAGTATACTTTGATCTAGCATATTTCATTATTACTTTGCCTTTTTTGTCTTTGGTTTAATTCCTGTATTTTTGTTATAAATTGTTTGTTTCGTATATATTTGTTTTGTATTTTCTTTTCATGTTGATTTTGAAGATTTGTTTGTACAATGTTTATTGCTTGTTCTTCGGTGCTTCGTCTTTTTTTAGCTCACCTGGTCCGAAGGACCGATGAGCTTAAGCCATGGCGCGGCGAACGTCGTTCGTCGTCCGTCAACTTTTCCTAAAAATCGCTACTAGTCATGAACGACTGAACAGATTTTGACCAAATTTGGTCAGAAGCTTTTAGAAGTAGAAGTAGAAGAGTGTGGCCCCCTTGGGGCAGAAGGGAGGGGCCAATAGGGGAAACATAGCAAATTCTTCAAAATCCTTCTCCTTTTGTAGGAATGACAGGAATTTGTCCAAATTTGGTATGAAGCATCCTTGGGTGAAGGGGAATCGTGTGTCTGACCCCCCCAAGAGGCAGAGATGCGGGGCCCAATAGGGGAAATAGAGGTAAACCCTTTAAAATTCTTCTTCTTTTATAGGGATTAATGGACTTTATCCTAATTTAGTCTGGAGCGTCCTTGGGCCAAGCAGATTGAATTTTGTATAAGCAGTAGGTGTGGTCTCCCAGGGGGTAGAAGGGTGGGGCTTAATAGGGGAAATAGAGGTAAAACCTTTAAAATCCTTCTTGGACCATCGGAATTAAGGGATTTTATCCTTATTTAGTATGGAACATCCTTGGGCCTAGGGGACTCAATTTTGTAAAATTTGTGGGTATGACCCCCCTAGGGGCATAGGGATGGGGCCTCTTGTTTTGCGGTCTTGTTTGCTCATTTTTATTTCGTAACTTATTTTTGTTTCCATTGTATTCGGTGATCATGTTTGTTTCGTTTTCACTTCTGTGATCTAATTACATGTACCTTCAAACGTGTTTTGTGATTTTGTATCTTTTGTGTGCATTATTTGATTGTGCTTTCATGTGCTTTTATCGTGATCTAGCTTACTTTGTATACATCTTAGTAGAGATTTTCTTTGCTTTGTTTGTTTTCTTATGTTAATTTCCTGTTTTGATATACCGATCTTGTTTGATGCGTGTATTCTACGTAATCGTTCAATTCAGCTGCTTATCAAATTCTTTTGAAGAATATTAAATAGATTGAAATATTGAAAAAAATAACTAATTGTTTTGTTTAATGCTGTTTAATAAGTTCACGTGATGCGTTATTCACAGACAAGCTGCACTGTCACACCGTCACCCAAATGAGATCCATCCGTCTAAGAGATTTGCATTTGGGACGACTGGGGTTCTGTAAAAAGAATGCATATATTACGAACTAATCTAAACAGCAAACAATATTCACCATTTAATTAGCATGTCCTGTTTTTGATTCTAAGATTTATAAATATTCTACTATCTCTAAAATCGTAAATATTGTCTTCAAATATTGATCAACCATTCAAAAGATGCTTTTGCATTATACAACAGGCATGCTAATCAAACTATAGCTCGATAATTGTTTAAAGGAAACAACTTTCATATACATACATACATGAGGTTTATCCCATTATGATTCGATACAAAAACGGGATTCTAATTTACACTATATATTTACATTGGATTGTCATCAATATTCAAGCTCAATACACCGCCACAAATAGAAACGTAAGCCAATGCCATGGACTGAGTGAGTCCCAATGTCTATAACATTCATCATCGGCAGATACTCTATTTTCAGAAAACCTTAGGATTATATGGGTTATTATGTCGTGTTTGCAATTGCAGAGATCTATAATCTCTAGTTAGCCTACTGTCAGGACAATGAACACAGTAACCGGGTGAGAAACAATACTACTATGATCAGGTTACTACTTAAAAAACTTCAGTATCCATTATTTATAGGCGCCGTCTCCGTATAACCTCAACTGTAATGGCGTAGAAAAATGAACAAACAAAAAATAAAAGTAATACATCTCTTCTCAAAACTGATGAAATATATGTTTTTCTCATTGAACCTTCAGTCATGATTTACTTTTGCTGGCAAATGTAGTTTCTGCGAACGTAACAGTAGTAATCGCCCATCTTGAAGTGAAACGCCCCCCAGAGAAGAAGACAATCTTCATTTGCATGATTGCTAGGCTCCCCTGGTCCCCAGTCCGTGTAGTTCATAGGCTTTTGGATTGAGGACCATTGCCACTCTTTGTTCACCTCAAGGTCGTTGCCGTTGATCCAATACCCAAACGCTGGATAATCTGTGGTAAATGTCAGAAATTTTAATCAAGTGCAGAAATACTGAACAGAGCCTCTTGAATGCATTAAAATGAACCCTACAGCGAGAATCTGTGCATAAGCATCCAAACGAAGTTGCTTGAATTCTTCACCCAGTTCTGAATCGGTTCAGTTGTTATCGTATGTTTGTATACAAAAACGTAACTAACGTTTAATATATTTATTGTGATTTAAGTCGAAATACTGTCGATACTGACACCTTATGTTGGTTGAGATCACGCCGCGGTCACTAGCAAGCGAGTTTCTAATGAAATTTATACAAAACTTAACTAAAACTTGTCCTTTTAAAATACAAAACTTAGTTACTTTTTGTATATGGTACCTTACATGTAATTTTTAAATGTTAACTACTCATTATGTAATTTAAAATCTGCTAGACCTAAACTGGTGAAATCAGGTGTGGTTACCAAAAAATCACAATAATATTTTGTCATAACGTCATTAAGATTTTCGAATAAAATGGGTGTTTCGTTTTGGCTGATAACGCACGGCAGACATGTACTGCTCATTAGGTTACTCCGTATTATATATTTATTCTTATATCTATTATAATAAACAATAAAACATTGCCATTTTATATTAAACAGGAGGAAATAATTGTCTAATACTGACGTAGCGTTATAAAACCAAATACTAGAAAATAATTGAGCACCACGGGTGAAGTCTTTAGTAAAATCCCATGTTAAAGTTCAAGATCAAATTGTGACTTTTTGCTGCATTCCATTTAAACGGGGTTTCATTTATATGCACATTTATTACGAAAATATATACATCCAATATTTGTTATGACTTCTATTGCCTTTCATTAGAGGTACTCATTTCATTTCAAATCAATTTTGTTGTATTCAAAAAAACACAATTGGATTAGGCACAGGCATTGCCTATAAAAGCCCTTTCCACAGAAAATACACACATTTCATACATTCATATATACATATATATATATAAGGGGCAAAGAAGTAATTCCAACAGTGTGGACAAGTTTAGGTCGTCAAATTTTCGGAGCGATCCGCTCCTTTTTCAAGACACAGTGAAACAGAACAATTACATGCACATATACATCATATTACAAGAAGATAGAATTGATATACTATAATTGAAAATATAGCTATTATACAAATTATATTATATAATATTATATCATATATATATAGAGAGGGAGAGTATTATAGAGAAGATGTAGTATATGTTCGAATTAATAGGAGAATACTAGAACCATTTAATACATGTTCACAGACAATAATATCTAGAATATCATAGATTTTAACATTTCAATTAATATAGTCTATTTACTTCAATTATTAATAGCCTAGTGTTTGGTTGGAGGCACTTCAAAGACACTGTCACTATATACAGTGCCATCCTTCCCAATTACACCAGAGTTATTGTTATAAAATAGCAAATACAAACACATTGTAATATAATTTTTAGTATAGTTTAAGTTAAAATCTTCCAGATTTGTCAATACCCCAGAACACATGAGAGAATAAATTTATTTGATTCACTGCTAAGGTTCATATCACCCTTAGTGAAAGTAACAGTATTGAAGATGATGTTGTCAATTTCATTATAATTAGATAACGCATTGATTAAAACTTGTCTTTCATCTATATATTTGAGGTACTGCGTTTTAATGCATTAAGTAATCATATCAGATGAGGTAGTACAGGAATCGACTTAACGGTTGTATAACTATTACAGGAGGGGGAGGGGAAAGTGAACAGCACACATACTTCACATATCAAACCCAGTATCAACCCACGAAAAATATAGCCATTGGGTCTTTATCCCTTGGACTAATATTGGAGATACGAGCTGTTACTGGTGTGAGGTTGAAAACAACGAGAAAAATATATAACTGAAATAAGAATTGGCACATGTTATTAAATAAACATTATGCAATAAAAATATTCACGATTCCAGCGATTTCAATGTCCAAGATCCCTAGCTTCAATCAGAAACTCTGCATATATAAATAAGCCAGCTGCATCACCCCTTTTTGTATTTTATAAGTTAATTCCTAATAAAATTGTTTTTTTCTTCTTTTTTTTTCTGATCACGGATCACAGATTGGGCGGAACCAATGACAATCGTTTCGCTACTGTTAGTTTGACCTACCCTTCAATTACTTCAAAATGAGAAAAAATGGAAATGAAAGCTTTCTCAAATATCACTGGTTTACAAACTGACAAACTGACGCTTTCACTAGTAACAGTCCTTTAAACAATGATTTATGAAATTAGGCAAACAATTGTAAAACATGTTGTTATACATATTTTAGCGCTTTGGATTTTGAAATTTCCGCATGACTCGAATTAATGCAGCACAATAACGTTAAATACAACGGTACGTTATTTTATTACTATCAATACCAAAGGGTATAAATCATTGTCTCACTTGCTGCGTGTATGCCATTCAGGTATGACTTGAGAAATCTGACCTCCTCTTGTGTCTGCACTGTGGCTAGGTCACTGTGGATAATCTTACATGCTTCCTGTTGTTAGTAGAAGGTAAAAATTAATTTCTTATATGGCATAAAATCAACTGTGTTAAGAAAATCCGAAGTTTATGATAATGGTGATTAACATGATATTTAGTGGTAATGTAAAGTGGCGATTTCATACCTATATATGTTCCTGAACGAGAGAAGGTTAATACATTTTGCAGGTTTACCTCTAGGGAATGACAACAAAACGTAATAAATGGAAGGATATGTTCCTGACATTCCCATTCTCTTAGAAATAGACTGTTAACTCTATATTCTTCATTCATCTCTACGCCCTTTGGTCTTTTTTAAAACACGTATTGCAACTAGTAATGTTGTTTTTGCCAAATGTCAATTATTGAAGTTATTTTCCCAAAGCTAAGTTATAAAATATATAGCCAATCATTTAGTTATGATTGAGTCATAAAGGCATTTCGATACGGACACATTCTTTAAAAATAAAATTGTCTCCATTGTTATACATATATGAAACGACGTATATTTGAGGTATCGGCGATGCAACATTGCAAAGGAATATTTTGCAATTGTAAGTCACACCTGAATTACAATGAAATATTATACCCTTAATTCCCTGTGTGGTTTATTATTGTGGACGCATATAATAGGGTAATTTTACGCCAAGTATTTCATTCATTAAACACAATTAATCGTGTACAACCACGACTCCCTTCCCGCATTTACTTACTTCAGCTTCAGGCCAACTTAATACAGTATGGGAAAATAAGTAACACGAGTCGTGAAAATTAATCCATCCATGTCTACAGGTTCCTTGTGAGGGTACAATAGTAGTTAAGGCGCCAGTAGCTGAAAGACATGTAGTGGACGCTATGTACGTAGGCCATATTATCACATTTATATAGCGATACGATAATTGTAGAACAATACTACTAGATACTAATAGCTTAGTGAAAGGAAATAAATTAATATCTTTGTCTCCAAAACTCTTAAAATACAGAGAGTCCAAACAAAGTTGACTGTATTTGCACATTTGTTTTTTTCCTGCTATTCGAGGACATACAGTTATTTCTAGTTTTTATTTATTTTCTTTACAAAGGGAGAATACTTGGATCACTAAACAAATATTCTTAATTTCATTTGAATACAAATGCATGACCTACATAATAATAAATACAATGTATGTATCGGCCGCTGTATTAATCCAAATGTTAACATTGAATAGGTGATAAATAGTAAAAAGTTGTTTTACGTTTTGTGTGATATACAAGTATGCATTCACTATAAACTATGTCTTCTATTTACCTATTCTGAATACTACTTATCTGTGATCACATTTAATGCTTTTCATATATTAACACCATTTTCATATATATATCCCGGGGGCCTTTGTAGGTAGGGGACACTTAGAAACCTGGGATATGTATACTTTCTTTTTCTGAGATGATTTTTATTGTTTTATTATTAATATATGTGAGTATCTCCCTTTGCTTGTAATATATTATGTTATTGTTATTTTTACATATGTTTGTCGCAATAATAGCTCTCTTACCTGTATGCGACGTTAAATAAAGTTTCTTGTATCTTGTTTCTTGTCTCTATCCAATCACTTACTCATCAATTATAAGACTTTGATATTTGTCACTCCTGATCATGAATATCGATTACATAGACAGGAAACAAAAATATGCGTCAACAAACATGTATACATGGCCGTTAAGGATATCAAACGTGTTCCTACTACTTTTGTAATTTTAAAATATGTTAAAAGAGTCTCTTGAATAACAGTGGTATGTTAAATCCTATAATTGTACCAATCAAAATCATGTAACGACCATGAAACAATTTAAAGTATTAGTTAGATTTTTGGTAGCCGATTCTTTATAACTATCAAGATAAATTATTGAAGATATGATGTCAGTAATGCTTTTAATTTCACGTATTTCGTTCAGTGATTTTCTTGCTACAAATAATGTAACGCACGTGACAAGCGATGAAGGTCCCGTCAATTACGCTGATAATTTTTGACAGGATGTGCTTATCATGATAACGTATCTATAGTATATGGCGTTAAAGCATGTGTTAAGTGGTATTAAATGTGTCGTCTTCTTTTCCAAATGTTAGTATTACAGTTTTGAAAAGGGGTTTAGAAATTTTCGATTTTTTTTTTTTTACTATGAGTATGGCAGACGAAATCTGTCGAACAATTCCTTATTTGATTTACGAAACGATTCGAACATATTTGCATATGCAATATTATCTGGAGTAATCTAAGTTTATGTTAAGTTCAAAAGTGTTATATAAAATTAGGCTGTTAATTTCCTTTAACTAATCACATTTAAAATATCAGCTACATCTTTTACTTAAAATGTTGTTACACTTAATGCTACCTTAAAGGTTCACGTGTTAAAAACAATGTACTTACCTACACAAAACTTGGTTACGACGAACAATAAGGTAACAGCCAGCATAGCGTTTGGATGTCAATTCTTGTACTAAACAAATACCTCGTTCGTTATCTGTGTGTGCGTTATCTATAGACCGACTCTTCAAGGAGATATTGTTATCATCAAATTGTTTGAATCCAAGACAAACCTCATGTTTATACATATCACACAGCATAGTGACTTATGAAAAATACTATGCACTTCGTCAATTGTCTTTCTGTCAGTCATGATTTTTTTTCAATAGTTCAGTTTGTTGGATTAAACAAATATTATGTTTGTACAGAACAAATCACGACCTACAAAATGTTACAGGTACCAAAGTTATAAAACATTCAAACACGTCTCCAATAGTTGTATTTGGATGGTAGCGTACTAGGATTATGAACTACATGGCCTTCCACGTTCATCACCTAGGCCACAATTGACTTATTGTTGAGAGAAGCGTTAAGTAACAGATAGAGCTGGTAGGAAATAGAGAAAAGATAAAAAAAAATAAAAAAATAACGAAAGTGTGCAGCGATTTATCTTTTTTTATTTTTTATTTTTTTTTGTATAACAAGGGAACAGTGCAAATCACAATTACTGCTACAAGGGGATTCCAATAAGGTGCCTCGTATAACATTCCTTACTCGATCCCCGACCTACAGGGTTCGTGTGTTTGTTTGAGGTATAATGGTAGAGTGGTTAGACTATTACTCCATCCCCGACCTACATGGTTCGTGTGCTTTTTTATCGCTGTGTTAAACATATATCCCGAGTATTTCATTGTAACCGGATCTGACTTTAAATTGAAATTAAATCACTGAGTTGATGTTTTTTCAATTCATTCTATTAAGATAGATATATTTCCAATATCACTTTTCATTGTTGATCTTAATAAAAGCTGAAATCTTAAATAAACAATTTCCATCTGTCTTCTCGAAACAAAGTAATATATCACATGATCAATTCAAGCAAGAATTCAATATGCCTCGAATTGACTACTCGGTCCTGAATGATATGATAGATAATGAAAGTTTTCGAATTTTACTTAAAAAAATCTTAAATCCATCAAAAGCTACTGGACCTGATTTTATAAAACCCAAATTTCTAAAGGAAATGGCTAATGAAATATTACCTTTCTTTACCTTATTATTTAATCGTTCATTAGAAACTGGTGCTATACCATCTGACTGGAAAGTTGCCCATGCATCACCAAATTATAAAAAGGGCATTAAGTACAACCCAGAAATGTACAGGCCCATCTCTTTTACTTGTATATGCAGTAAACCCTTAGAGTATATAGTGGTAAGTAACATCAGGTCACATACTGATCGTAATAACATTATATACCCCTTCCAATACGGCTTCAGGCAGTCACGATCATGCGTAACACAACTTGTAGAATTTATTGAATATGTCACAAAAAATATTGAAGACCACAAACAAACGGATGTCTTCATTTTTAGATTTCTCAAAGGCCTTCGATAAAGTCAGCCATAGCATATTTACACATAAACTTCATCACTTTGGGATCAGGGGAAAGTAAACTCATTGATTTAAAACTTCTTGGCCAATAGGACACACGCAGTCGTACTCATAGGCGAACTATCTCTATATGTACCGGTCGAGTCGGGGGTCCCCCTGGTGTCAGTCCTCGGCCCGAGTTTGATTTTGTATTATATAAATGACATGCCCTTGGGTCTCTCCTCCTCCGTCAGATTGTTTGCTGCCAATACAATTTTAAACAAAACTGTCACCTTCAGTGAGGATGCTACAATACTGCAGAGGGATTTAGATATGCTCGCAATTTAGGAAAAAAGGTGGAAAATAGAATTTCACCCCCCAAAATGTAACTTTTTATCCATCTCCAACAATAAAGATTCAGTGAAATATAACTATTTTCTTCATGATCATTTGTAGAGCATACTGATAAAGTCAAATATTTGTGTGTAACATTGAAGGAAAATTGAAATGGGATTCTCACATTACTGATATAACTTGTAAAGCTAACAATACCCTTCATACAAGTCTCCAGTGCGTCCGACCTTTGAATATGCTTGTACCGTGTGGGACTCATACCAAAATGGTGACATACATAAATTGGACATGGTTCAGTGAAGAGCAGTGCGACTGGTCCCTAACAGATACCATAACACATCCAGTGCTATTGCCATGCGCAACGACCGAAACTGGCCCAGTTCGTTGATAGGCGTAAGGATGCCAGCCCAACTATGCTATTGAACATCTTAATAAGATTTGATAGGAAAGTGAATGCCGCGGGGCCTGCTGGTTGGATATTAAAGTGACAGATTTTCTTTTGTTCAAGTCTGTTTTCGTCTAGAGGAGTTTAATTAGTGTGTAATCTGTCGAATTCAACACAAAATGGCGGCCCCCATGTAAAAACAAGTTCGAATAGGTAGAATTTAAAAATAAACCAGTTTTACAGGTTTGTGAGATGACATTCTTCAAGATGAGCGCAGGTGAACCAGTGTGGGTAACCGAATTTAACAAGTACATTGTTAAACGTTAACGCTATCGTCTATGGAAAATCATTTGTGTCTGCGGTCCCTGTACATAAGCAAAATCCAAACATCGACATAATCTTCAATATGATGAAGTAGGTCGATTATCAGCTAGAAGTAGAAGAAAAGATGTAAGAGTAAAACAGAAATCTAGAGCTCTGATGTTAAAGCTGTTCCTAAATGGAAATTATGGGGTTTATTTTTATTTCTGAAGATATTTTGGTTCCTACTGTATTAGTTTGGTGGCGTAGACGTAACTGTTTCAGCAACAAATATGTCGGGGCCAAGACTCAGCCATTGCAAGGTATTGACACATCATACAGATAGAAGCTATCATATGAGTAACGAGTATACCCTTGAGTGTTGACTTCGAGATGTATATCTTAGCTAATTTACTCCCCTAAAACTATGCCTGAAATTGAATTCTTGAAAGTGGTTTTAGAAAAACAATATATATTTATGGTAATACGACTGCACGGAATGGAGAACTGAAGAGGATGATTTACTGAACACAATAGAACAAATAATAAATTCAAGTAAAGTGAGTTGCATTGAATCTTTATTTGTAATGTTAACCAATAAATTCATTTCCTGTATCCACGTCGACACTGAAAAATATAAATGAATATTCTCAACCTATGACAATACTGTACCGTCACACAGGTAAGGAGATACATTAAGATGTTAAAAATCATACTCTCAAACTTTATAAATTGTTCCTTTTCAAAAATGATCATGCTATATATATTGTTAGTACTTGATTGTCTTGTTTTGATTTATAAGATACATAATACACTTCGTCTTTATTGTTGTACCAATACCTTATGGAATATTTGTTTTGCCTTCCATTGAATTGACAATGCATATATAATGATCATGTATTGGTATAACGTCGTCCTATCGTATTAGTGTATTATACAGAAAATTGAGTAATTGATCTTACGTTTGCTGACATATGTAGTTTCGTTTATGGGCACAAGCGTTGTCCCCCATCTGGAACTTACTGGCACCCCAAAGAATCAAACAGTCCTCGTTTTCCCCCATATTGGGTTCGTTTGGAGCCCAGTCAGTAAATGTTAAGATATCGCCTGTTGTCATCCATTTCCAGACGTGTTCGACTTCCAAGTCTGATCCGTCCAACCAATAAAGTGTCGATGATAATTTTGGATCTAGAAAAACGTCTATCGCACATGAATTCAGTGTAATATTATAGTATATTGCAATCCAACTAAATCACAAAAGAACACATTTTAAGCTGTAAGATAATTCATTACGTGAACCGTTCGACATGTTTCAATCATTTTGAATAAATCAAATGTACACCACTGCTATGAAATGTTCATATTAACATGTTACTGTTAAACACTTTGACAATGTATCCTTTACCGTTTTTGTGTAATTCAAGCAACTGTGTTGACAGGAAATTCTGCTCTTCAGCCGACATCACAGTAGCCAAGTGAGCATGGAGGGCATGGCACGTCTCCTGTAAAAAAGATGAGTAATAATGTATGTTTCACTGATATAAAGAGTTTCCTCAACGTGTGCTGTGAATCTGATGACTCCAGTGAATCAGTTAATAACGATAAATAGATATATTCAGCAATTAAAAAAAGTGAATAAGGCGTATTTACAATTATACAATGCAATAAAAAACAAACAAAACAATAATGATAAATAATGATATCGTATGCCAACTTCGATATATATTGTAACAAAATATGGTATAGGGACGATGCACTTGTTTCGTATGAAATATAAACTATTACTACTACTACTACTACTACTACTTGTTCTACTACTACTACTACTACTACTCCTACTACTACTACTACTACTACGACTACTACTACTACTACTACTACTCCCACCACCACCACTACTACTACTACTACTACTAGTACTACTACTACTACTACTACTATACTACTACTACTACTGCTACTACTACTACTACTACTACTTGTTCTACTACTACTACTACTACTACTCCTACTCCCTTTACTACTCCAACTACTACTACTCCTACTACTACTACTACTACTACTCCTACTCCCTTTACTACTCCAACTACTACTACTCCTACTACTACTACTACTACTACTATTATTACTACTACTACTACGGCTACCGCTTTCACCACATCCACTATAACAACTACTACTGTCACCATTACCACTAATAACAATATTTGTACTACTATACTGAACAAAAAAAGAAACGCACAATTAAATTATGCAATCAATAGCCTATGATATTTTTTGGAAATTTGTACACAATTTTATATCAATATGAAGGGACAAGTTTACTCTTTATAATACTGCAAAAGAAAGTCTGTGTGACGTCACTCGTGTCATCAGTAGTTACTCAAAATGGGATACCCGCGAAAAACAAAATGACACTTCAGTACCTGGTGTGGGCACCTTTTGCACCACCACCACCACCACCACCACCACCACCACCACTACTACTACTACTACTACTACTACTATTACTACTACTACTACTACTACTACTACTACTACTACTACTACTACTACTACTACTACTACTACTACTTCTACTACTACTACTACTACTACTACTACTACTACTACTACTACTACTACTACTACTACTACTACTACTACTACTACCACCACCACCACCACCACCACTACCACTACTACTACTACCACTACTACTACTACTACTACTACTACTACTACTACTACTATTTCTACTACTACTACTACTACTGCTACTACTATTACTANACTACTACTACTACTACTTCTACTACTACTACTACTATTACTTCTACTACTACCATATCTTCTCCTTCTTCTATTGCTGTCACTATTACAACTACCATTTCTACCACTTCCATCAACATTTCTTCACTAAATATGCTGCTTGTTTTGTAGCTGTTGGATGATCTTTCCTAGTTTAAATCGGTTGCTGAATTAATATTCTTTGTTTGATTAAATCCACTGACCCTTATACAGATGTTAAGCTAATTTAAAATATGCATCGTCATAAAATTATCGTTTCTTACAGATGCTTCCGACCAAGTCAACTGATTGTGGGAGAACAGGCAACACCATTCGTCGTAGGTAATCCATCCATTTCTACAGTTGGCTACTGTAATATAAAATGTTATTTATATATTTCACAAGATGCTTCTCGTCAAGTGTAACAAGAAAGGAGTACTGATACACAGCACGAACTATTAGAACAATTTAAAACACGGCGTGACATTGAAAGTTAGGGGATCATAGACATTTCAAAAAACAACCAATACATTGTGTAGACAGTACTAAAAAGTAACAATACAATTCGTAGACTGTAATAAAAATTAACAATATAATTCGTAGACAGTTCTAAAAATTAACATTAAGGTTTTATAGATATAATTTATGAACTGTACTTTAAAGCAGCAGTTTTTTAGATAGTACCGAAAAATAAAAAAGTAAAAAATAACAAAATACGAAATGTGAAAAAAAGAACCCCAAAACAGTTAGATATGTTAAGAAGGAGAATACATTGACTGAGAGTTAACTCATGAAAGAAGCACGGTTACGATAACGTTTTCTCTTACCCTGGACAGGTGTATTAAAACTGTTGGCCCCTTTGATATATGCTTGTATCATCATAGGGTTCAGACAAGGTGATTCTCCAATCATATGATTTCAATCCTCTTGGAAAGATTGTAAAGCTTCAAAACAATCGGGAAGTCCCGGTTTTGGCAATTAAACAATCTAACCCCACCTCTCTACGCAAGTTGAAATCCCCCTACGTCACCCAATGATGTGAATGATTCTGGTATTTTCATACAACGGTTTGTTGTGATTATAAGATAAACATTAAAAAGTATTGTCTCGTCATTATGAAATGTTTAACAATTTCTTAGTTATTTGAAAATACAAAACTGTAAATGCATAAAGAGTATTTGGATTATTACAAAACAATGCACCTACTACAATGTATTTCTTTATCATATGAATTCCTAAAACACTATCACGTGTTTGTCATATTGATAAGCCTGTGAAAGGGAATATATACTTATAAAGATTGAGCAGACCATGACATTGTTTAGCAAACCATCAGACTGTATTTTACATTTTTCTCCGAAACATTTTAACCCTCCTGTCTACTTACATGCATAACTGGCGACCCAATTCAGCAACACAAAGCTTACAATAAGCTTCATAACTAGAGCATGTATAGATTCTACTATCGGAATACGATGCCAACTTTGTCACCTAAAAGCCCGCTTATCTTAGCACGGGATATTTGCACTATAGCAAGTCCATGTCCGTCAATCGTGTCTTCATAATGCGGTGTCTCTCTCGAGCCTGACCCCTATATTTTACAATCAGTGTTCACAGTTTTAGGATATCCTACAAATTCATTTTTGAATGTTGTTTATATAATACATCAACGTTTACGTATAGTCGAATTATTTTACCAATAACATGTTAACTGTTGTCACTCTACTGTGACAGATTGCAATTTGAAAATTTTGCAAAAGAAAATAATAAATTGACGAGATATTCAGGCATAAATATACGTTTTCCTAAGTAAAATGAATAAATAATCAAATTGGTGCCTTTTAGGTAGATTATTGCATAATAAACATACATCATTATGACAAATAGTAGGATGCTGATAATAGTTATGATAACAATACACATTAACCTACACTTTTATCGAGAGCTAAGGGATTATAGCAAGCTTAAAAATGTATAAATTGTTGACAGAGTTTATTATAAGATATTGAATATTTTACCAAGTTTGCATGCTATGACAATTTTCGTTGGTGAATAACCATTGATTATTGGACGAAATACCATGCGACAGACAAATGTTCTTTCAAAAACATCCCCGACAAATCGCCAGTAAACAAGCGAGTCACAGGATTGGTTTTATTTTTTGATCGTATATTGCTTGGTTCAAAATTGTTGGAAAAATCAACTCATTTGTTATGTATATTTTTAAAACATTTTCTCACCCTCGATATATATTTTACCTTAATATGCGCATATTCGTTGATTATTTCTTAAATTTCATCAATCTAATCTTTAAGGTTAGTGTATGAACACATTCATTTACAGATAACCTTATGGGCTGCCAAAAATGGTGCCGGTTAGGTAAATTGATAAATTTATCATAGGGAATCTTGTTTTGAACAATGATATCTTAGTTTTATCAAAGGTAACACAGAGAAAAGTATCCTTTTTTACATTTAAACCACTTGTTTTGTACAGTCTATGATGATGTTGCTAAACTTGTTGGCATTGCTGTTACATGTATGTCTCTTGTTTAGCTCTATGTAGTTATCAAGAGTTCAATACGTCTACCTTTTCTACTTCCCATCATAGAAATTACTGCATGAACAGCGTTTGACATATCCCTTTGTACCTGATAAATAACAATCAGGTACATTGTGGTGTTCTTATGCTTTATTGAATGAAACAAAACAAAATCAACCGATTATATTTTCACCGCTTTCAAAGCTGTAAATATAAAAATAGCACATGTATTAGCCATTTGATCGAGAATAGTATATTGACGCAAGCATTTTTTTGGAAACATTTTAGATCATAAACAAACTGATTATTTCATAAAGATTAATATATGAACTTTATTTCGATGTAATCAATATATATATATCTTATAACATACAATGTACATACGCAGAAACCATATAGAAAGTGTGTACACACATACGTATTTCATTAATTAATACCTTGTTTTGCAAATGTAATTCCAGCTTGCTGCACAAGGATTGTCGCCCATGTTGAAGCCGTGTGCACCCCATAAAAGGAGACAGTTTTCGCTGCTAGTATTCGTGGGTTCCCCTACACTCCACTCTGAATAGGAGAGTATTTCTCCGGAAGACGCCCATCTCCAAACATGTTCTACTTCTAGGTCAGTACCGTCAATCCAATATATACGGCCAGCTGCATCTAAATTTCAGATTTCTATGCGTTAGTCGATAAATTGAAACATTATTTAAATAAAGTAAATGTAAACCTTAATGTAACAAAAAATAATGATAAAACTAATTCAGTGTTTTCGTGCATTACGCTACTTTTTTAACATTTTGTTAAAAACGACAATATTATTATCTTTTGCAATTGTAGTATACTTAATGACATTGTAACTAACTAGGATCACCATCAATCAATTATCATCAGTAAGGAACTGGTTCTGTAATCACTCATAGAAACAGGCGTTAACCAAATGTACAACGCAAACTGTTCGAATTATTTGTCCAGGTAATGAAAACTGTGTTTCCTACCATTGGGATGGATGCTCATTAGGGTTGTCTTTAGAAAAGAATGTTCATCAGCTGACATAACCGTTGCTAGCGTACTATGTAAAGCCTCGCATGTTTCCTAGGATACAAAAACAGAAAGCGGGTAAACCACTATAAAATCTTATATATATATGTTACACTTATCATCGGAGAGAAGAAAAATACGATTCAAAAATCAAAGAATGTGAATGTCCTTTACTGTGCACACTGCCGTTATCAGTTATTCATACATACAGTTATTACGAAAATATAATTATATTTATAAAACAACGTTACCTACACGACGTTTCTTCCTTTTCCAAAATTATACCATGTTTTGAAATATTTCCATTTATCAAACGAAACTTTGAGAATATAATTAATATTTTTAAATAAATGCAGCCTATGTTTTCAGTGGTAACCATATTCCCAAAATTAACCAAATCACTTCATATAGATGATAGTATTACCTTCCAGGGCTGTAAAAGCAAGCAGTTCTGTTTTTTTGAATCACACGATCTATCATATGCCCCAAACAAAGACGGACTCTTGGCGAATGTACGACGAATCTCTCATTTTAAGAGTATACCCATATTCATCAACCTATGACGCATGACATCTTAACTGGAAACACTAATATCCATATGAATAGGTCATACTCACTATTATTATTTGTGTATTTCTTTGATTATATTTTAATCCCGAAAATAGTACATTCTTTATCATAAGGAAACAAATTAGTCCTTTGTAAAATTTTAACTTAAAGTAATACATTTCAATTTATCTTCAGCATGCTTATTCCTACAGTTATTCCGTCTTTTCGTATTAAAGAGCAGGTATTAATTGTTACGTCATTTGTTTGTGAGAGTAACGTCATATTTTTGTGTGAAAAAGACGTAATTTTCTCACACAAACTAATGACGTAACAATCAATGCCTGCTCACAAGAGCAGATAACTCTGCGATACGAAAAGACAGAACACTTTTAAACAGATGGCATGACAAATCTGATGTATAGTATCTAATACTTGCAAATGCTTTATCAATAATTAAAGTCAAAACTGGACTTGCAAGGAAACCTTGATACGTTTTGACAGATTTGGAAATATAGTAAAGAAAATTATTCAATTTCTTCCTTTAATCGAAGGCAAATTCGTCGTGGTTATTTATAAAAAACATGTATTTTATACGCTATCGAAGAGCCGTTTGTAATGGTATTAGCGTACTTTAGTTTACTGTTTTGTTGATTGTATTTCAATAGACACCAGACATAGTTTATTGAATAAAATAAATAAATAAATCACACGATAAAACTGATAAAATACTTGTGTATGAACATTTCTTGTAGGAACTCAAGAATAGTAAAACAAATATATTGCATCACATTTATTAAATTTTCACCGGTGAAATATAAATAATTATTCATTCAATTAAAAGTAATATATTTACTGCAGTATTGCGGCATATACCGATATTCTACCATACTTGTAAAATATATAACGATGTAGCACATTCTCCATTTATTGATTGCCTTTTAGTGTCGAGGTTACTCACCGCAGCCTGTGGCCATGACATGAGATTATGCGAGAAGTAGTAACAGTTTTCTGCGTCCGATAACCAACCCTCTCTGCACGGACCTGTGGCTGTAATTAGGAAGTAAGGATTGGACTTTAACAGATATGTTATGTATATTAATTTGAAAACTATAGTGAAGCAATAGATCTCATTGTTCATTATTTTATCACATAGCATGCAAACTGGAAAAGCCAGAAGTATGTCTTTTATAAATCATCTTCAATTATATTCAAATTCTCCAAACAAAACACAGATGTGCTAAAAAAAGGCATCACAGAAATAGAAGGGATTTATTACAATGGATAATTTCGAATTGCAATGTTTGATTTTCTCAAGTGGAAACAATTTACATTTGAATACAATATCTTACACGTCTCCTAACGTGCTATATGTGTTACGCTACACAGTATAGATATAACACATTGGCCAACTCGATTATTTCGATATGAAGATTATATCAATTACTTACCCACAGAATAGCCTATGCCAATAACAGTCAAGATAACACCGATCACCTTCATACCGAACAAGCTAGTACCGACTGTACTTACACGAAATAAACCATGTGTCTGGATACAGAAGGGTCATGAACAAAGCTTATCTTCAACAACCTAGTGTACACACAGACATAAGGTCATCTTGCACCAGAGATAAACCCTGTTTTGGTATATACTGACATGAGAAGGATTGAATTCGTAGATAATCGGGCTTAAATTATTTGATATAAACCAGAAAAACGGAAGAAGCAATCTTACAAATCTCCTTTTCATTTCGCTTGAATTAAAAAAACACTGATACATCCCAACTGGACTCATGTCATGATGACAACCATTCTAATCATTCAACTTAGAGTACAGCTCCTCATTAGCAAAACCCTGACTAGTAGGTAGTGCATGCGTCAACAAGACCATTCAACCAAGAAAGTCAGGATTGTCAGGGGAATAAAACCCAGAAATGTCTAGATACTCATGTTTAAGATTCGAGGTAAGTAAAGCTTTGGAATTTACGATATGAAACGAAGTGAAGATACAAGGTTTTTTTTCATAGAAGAGAGTATAGATATTAATTGAAATTCTTTGTAGCCCTCCGATTGTGACACATTTTGTCCTTGATAATAAAAGATATTTACCAACATTACATGAAAAAAGTTGACCAGCTGCAACATAAGAATATGAAAAAATACCAGCCCTATCATAAAAAACGTCTGGCTTCCGAAGACCATAAGTCCTATCATGTAATAATTCCATCGAGTCCACACGAAAGATACCCGGCTATTCATAAATGTCTATGTACAATTTGACGGACTATATCCTTCCAGAATGAACATCATGGTAAACAAGCTTCCCGATGTGAGACCTGTCAAGATGTAAGATACCCCATCATAAACAAGCCAGTGCTAACATGAAATACCACGGCAATACAATTATATCTCCATGGCCAGAGAAGTTCGCCACAACAACAACAGTAGATATGAATATAAATCAGAGGTAAGAATCACGATTTTGTTGGGAAAGCTCTTGTATCTATATTTTGGACGGTATTTTTAATTTAAAAAATTAAATTAAATCAAATTCCACAAGTGGTATCAATTTTGTATTTTTGATCATTTCAATTGTATTTTGTAATCTGTCTAGTTTTGTAATTATTTTTCTAATACCTCAATTATACCTATATGTATTCTTCAAACTGATTGTTTGTATTTTATTAACCTAACATTATAAGCATAATATATTAACAAAAACGTACATGTACATGTATGTGTCTTTGCATTTTTGAAATGTTGCACTTTAAAGTAATAAGTTCAAATTAAGTTAATTACATATATTCAGTTATAGGCATGCTGCTGTGTTGTTGTGCATATGCCTTTTCGGGAGAAACATCTGTAATCTGTACTTTAAGTTCAAATGAGCAATTTTACTTCTTGTTTGTTAGTGATTTTTTTCTACAACTCTACTTTCTTTCATTTAAATGCAACTTTTACGTTGTATCTAATACCTAGTTTTAAAGGTTTGGTTACCAGTGTGTGTGTGTTATGTTCATTTTTGAAGTTATTATATGTAACAAAGACGTCATGACAGGGAAATCATCTCATATAATCTCCGTGATACATCTGTAATGGTCCCATGTCCAAGAGAACGGTGACTTCCTGTCATGATCAATGACATCAAAATTCCTTATCGTATATTTATCTATGTATTTCAGATTATATTCAGAACGTATGACTATTTTGCACGTCAACAATAAGTTAACCTTATCAGGATGAAGATCGTTTTGTTTCTAATAAGCTTGGTAATGTGCTTATTACAAGGAGAAGGTATGTAACAAAATGTAAATGTCATTTATATTTATTTGAAAACTTTGTTTGTTTACAATAATTATAAAACAATGATAAAGACATAAATATTTTAAGACTCTTTCATGTCCAGGGGTGTAGAATAGGGAAATTTGACCCGCGGGGATTTCTAATTTCGTTAAACCTGATGCTTTAGAGTATTTTACACTCATTCCAACCATCATAATAAGCTCAGAAACCATGAAAATGCGTTTGGACTGGCTACTATTTTAAAAATATCATTTTTTCTCCTGAGCTTTTTAGATGATAACGAATCCGTCAGCGAGATTTAACATATCCCGTATTTGCAAACAACTTTTGCGTACACTAGTTATCACATCTTTCTAACATACAAGGTAAATATATCGTACAAAGTTTTAATTTCATCACGACGTAAGATTGTTTTGGTTTAATATTGTTTAATATTTCGTCAGTTGGGTTACTTTTTCATTTCTCTTATAAATGATTTTGTAATACCGAGCCATGTCTGCATATCCTCAATACTCTCTCATTATATTTGCCATGTTCCGTTTCCCCTGTGTTCATAAACAAATGTATATGAACTCAATTAGCAATACTGCGTTCATTTTTGTTCGCTATTATATTTTCAAATACACATATTTGTTCCGTGTTAATTTTCAGCTCAATTAGCAGAGCCTTAAGAGCTTATGTTGTGTTCCCTGGTGTATAGAGAGATGTTATGTAAACAATTAAGACAAATACAGACTTTGTAGCTGTGATAATATGCAAACACCTTCTGTTATTTGAAACGATTGACCTGATAATATTTTGAGTAAAACGGGACAGATTCTGATTTTTTTATGAATTTATTTAGATTGTATTCCTTCTTTGTCAAACACAATGCATTCTAGATAGAATTTATAACCGACATCATCACTTCAAGTTAAAAAGTGTGTATAATGAGAAGACGAAATGCCAAAATAAAATTCACTATTTTCCCAAGTTCGTTTTATGACATGCAAACTGTTTTGACATGCTATTTCCCTATGGAAGAGGCTTCATATTCAATATACAGCATCCCAAAATATCACGACGGAGCGGTGAACTATACTATACAGCATCCCAAAATATCACGACTGAGCGGTGTACTATAATATACAGCATCCCAAAATATCACGACTGAGCGGTGTACTATTATATACACCATCCCAAAATATCACGACTGAGCGGTGTACTATAGTATACAGCATCCCAAAAAATCACGACTGAGCGGTTTACTATACTATACAGCATCCCAAAATATCACGACTGAGCGGTGTACTATAATATCCAACATCCCAAAATATCACGACTGAGCGGTGTACTATCATATACAGCATCCCAAAATATCACGACGGAGCGGTGTACTATACTATACAGCATCCCAAAAAATCACGACGGAGCGGTGTACTATAATATACAGCATCCCAAAAAATCACGACTGAGCGGTGTACTATAATCTACATGTACGTTTTTCTTATCTTCTATTTATTTCCATGAATGGCTATTGTCATGATTTCCAGATCGCCATGTCTGCTATTTTTATATTTGAAATTAGTTTCTTTAGGTCATCCTTTCTCTGTGTTATCGATTTATATCTAATTGGGCTACATTTGTATGTATGCACAATATAATTATATTTTTGAGTTAGCCCTATTTGTGTTCATCTGCATTTTATTTCCTGGCAAGCTATATTTGTTTTCTTTGAATCCGTTAACATATTTTCAAGCTACCTATGTTTCGTTCCCTCTATGTTCTTTTACAAATGTTAAGAATAAACCATATACATTTTTTCAATGTTCGTTGACGTTCCAACTAGAAAACCACTGTGTTCATTACTATATTATAGAGATTGAATAGCTTTTTTCTAAAGTATCTAATCACACATGTTTCCTTTTTCCTCTTTGTGTGTTATTATATTATCAAGTCAGACTTGATTATTTATGTTCGCTGTTAAATTCTGGAAGCGCTACCTTTACCTTCTACTTTGTTATTTACTTAATCGTAAAATAAAAGAACAAAACTTCAAACTCAAATCACTAAAGGACTTACTCCTATGAACGATCCCTCAAAAGGTACAAGGCGAACGGGATATTTAACAGAAAGTTCAACGCTGACAACAGCCATGAAAAGTAAGATCAACTACTTGAAGCGCAATGCTCTCAAATAGGGAAGCGGGGAGGTTACACAATTCACAGGGAACACTAATGAACATAACCAATGTGTCAAAATTAATGTCGTATAAAGACAAAGAAGATTTGCAAATGAGATAACGATAGCGACCGTGAAACTTGTCCACGGTCTTTTTCAATCTGACATATGAAGGATACAAGTATGTTCTGAAACCAATCCATTGAGAGAGCAGGTTGTATTTTGAAATAGAGAAAAAAGCAAATGTTTGCTTTACATATATGCGATAAACATAGCATAAATACATTGTATGAATTAGCAGCGGCCTGCAGAGACGGATGGATCAGATTTCATAATAATTGCTACTTGTTTTCGAGAGACCGCGCGCCTTGGGGTGAATCAGCGGTAAGTACATGTCTACTACTTTTATATTTGGTATAACAATTGAATTCGAAACAGTAATAATAGCTAGTACATTCACGATATATTAAGAATTTGCAATACATCAAAATTGCATATTGTTGTTGTACATGTACACTGTATGCTGCAGATGAGTATAAAAGCTTATCTGTGTGCTCTGCGTGCAATATGTAGCCCCCAAAACACAGAATTTACGTTTCCCCATAGCACACATAAAATGCATGCATAAAAGTCATCGAGGCTTGAAGAACAGTTCAGGTAGGACATCCAGTTAAGTGGTTATATGTTGCGTTTCGACGACTAGTACAGTATGTACTCAGCCACCTTAATCAGCCATTTTTGTAATAAAGATGACAGATTAAATTCAGTGTAAGTCATCGAAACGTCACACATAGATACTTCAATGATTGTGCTACACGAATCTTTCTACAATCCAAACTTAACTTACCCCAATAGATACACTGCAATCTTCATCGAGAACCCACATATATATAAACTAATTCAAGAGAGCTTTGAAATTCCTAGAATACACATAAAACACAGCACAAAAAAGTGAATCTAAAGCTTTATCACATGTTTCATCAACAATTTTTGTAATTTACAGTCATTTCATCTTAAGTATTAAAGAACATTTTTGCTGATTGGGGTTCTTGCATGAAGGTTATATTCAAATTATTAGGGTTAAAATCGGGTCATTTGAAGATTAAATAAATGCATAGAATATCGAATTCAAACTTTCCGGCCAAATTTGGTAAATAATTGTTAAATGAAAACCTCTTCTATGAACTTGATACATGAATATATCGAAAATGCAGACTTTTATTATACTAATACACAAATGTCTTCAATATGCGATATGCTCAAGACATCCAATTATAATTCTATTTTTATGGCATTCATCTATGCAAATTGATACTTTATTTATATTTTCCGTATACCCATCTTAAAATATATCGTGGGTATGTCAATACTCATCAGTTTCCGTCATTAAATCATTCGACTTTTTGTGATTTCTTGTACTTGTAGAATTTCCTGAAAGACTCCAACATTCAAAAATCATAAATGAAATATATATATTACTATCCATATGATTTTTGCCCTATATAACACATGGGAAACTGAGTTATTTTATAACTTTTCCCTGTATAACTCAGCTTTTGTATCTTTAATGTTCTCGTTATATTGTTTACCATTCCAGGCCGTCTGTGTTGCATTTCACAGCCATCTAGCCATTGTCACGTCTGCAGAGGATAATGCTTTTTTGAAATCGGAAATCCAAAATTTACAAACTAGCGGTAATACTCATTGATTGGTTAAATTACAAATGCATGTTTTTATTTTGATAAACTACTATTGAATTTACGGGCAAAACACTTTCCATTTATTTACTTATTTTAATTCTATTATTCATGCATTGGCACTCAATTATATCGCCATCGTATCCAATACATCCAAATTACCATGTTCCCAGTTTCGGTCAACGGATCGAATTAAATTAACAAGGACAATTGAGACTAAAACTTGTTCATTTAGTTTCGGAGATAGTCCAAGCTTTATGTTGATGCTTATCCCAAAAGAAACGTTACATTATTTGAAATATAGCATGTTAAAAATATCCGAAAAAAGACGTTATCGCTTTCTAATATTGTCCCCAGTGTATTGGCTTGAAATTAAGTCATGTAAACGTCGTTGAAATTAAATGAAGCGAAGCATTGTACACGATTAACACGAAAAATGTTTTGCACGTGAACCTTGTATAAAAAGGGTGTTAAAAACTAGTTTTTCTTTTCTATATGGTATTCATATGTGTCAGGACGTGATGACTTTAGCCGTGAAAGGGCCATTGGCACGATACATGGAGGAGTGAGGTACGCTGAGGTCGGCCGGCGGTTTAGTGTGGTATGGATAACCATAGCAAGGCTTTGAAGCATGTTTACAAACACGAACTCGACGGTTGATCATCCAAGGTCGGAGAGCATCACGTAACGAAGACAAGACAGGCATTAACATTAATATCATATCTGCTTACGTCATCTGCGTAATCGGACTATAACGGCGGCAAATACTGCGTCTACCATCCCCAATTAACGTCACATTAGTCCACAAATTGTAACCCGTCGGTTGGCTAAGGTAACGCTACGTGCTCACTGACTGTCCCGTGTACCTCGATTCACGTCATATCCAAATCGCTTAGCGTGGGCACGACAACATTAGCGATGGTTTCTCAAACAGTGGCAATATTTTATATTCCCGGATAAGTTCCGATATTCGCTCAGATGGTAGAACGCAAGTGGATCGTAGGCGTGGTGAACAGTATCAGGACGCCTGCACCTTACAGCATTGTACGTCATGATCATTTTCATGGTAGCCTAAACGCTCAACGTTACAGAGAGTACTACATATTATTCCCATCTTGGTGATAACTGGCGACACGCTTCAGCAAGATATTTCACATGATCATGTCTTAAGCGCGAATATATGGTGGAAGATGCCGATGAAGTCCTGAACCGACTCATCGATTCCATGCGATTCGTTAAAAGCTGTGGTCAACGCCAGGGATTCTTGCACGTCATATTAGTTCTGTGAATTTGAAATTTACGTGCACTGGATACACACTAGTAATTGAGACATTTAATGAAATGAAGCCACCTGATACAACACCTATTGAGTTGTACAGCATTTTCACCATAATGCATTCATTAAATACTATCATTATACTAATGTGACGTTTCTTACAGGGTCAAGTTTATTTGAATTTAATTCACCTTTACTTAAAAAAAACACAATATAAGTGTTGATAAGGTAATATGTAGCTGTATAAATATATTTAAATTACATGTAATGTTATAATGTAAACGAAAATTTCTGACCTTTTTCCAACTTGGATCGAAAAACAATTATGTAAAAACAAGTATATGTAGCCTACTAATTAATTGAGTATTTCGATACATGCACATATATGTATGTCCTATTCTACCTGATATCGAACAGTGTTGCTTGATGTAGTTCTACAGGTTTTGTCGACTAGAAGTCATAATTTTTATTTAATGGAATAAATAAAGAAAAAATACAAGCAAGCACACCTTGAGTAAAGCGACTTCATTATATTGTATTTCAAATTCAACTTATTGTGACTATATTTGATAAAAACAGTTTTTGAAACAATGTTATATGCACGTCCTTAAATACACAATTAAACAAAATCATAATCCCATTAAAATCACTTCCAATTTACGTTTTAGCTGCGTATTGGATTGATGGAACTGACATTGAAGTTGAAGATATATGGCGTTGGACGTTTACTGGCGAAAGAGTAACCTTCGTCAATTGGGGCAGTGGCCAACCAAATAACGGCCATGCGGCGAACTGTATGAGTCTGTATGGGGGTCTATCATTCGACATGGCTGACGAACATTGCAGTACCAACTTCAACTACATCTGCCAAATGAGGTAAAATGGAAAAAAAGACATACGTCAATAAAAGGATGTTTAATTGGCAATCGTCAGCAAATATTTGGTTTGTAATCCTTCGGTTTCAGTTTTCGTGGGGTTTTTTTTCCGATATTATCATAGTCAGGATGACAGGTTGTAGCTAGCGTATGAGAGATGCAGTATAGGTGTGAACTGCTTTGCTTATTCTTTATATACGTTTGTATGCCTGGGACCATTGATGTGTTTACTTGTGTTATCGGTATCTGAATATTCCATCGGGGTCAGAAGTGACATTTTAAAATTATATAAGTGTGATTGTTTACGATATTTGTCAAGGTCTTTTAAATATCACGATATTCGCTTCGATTTAAGTTTTCATTGGAGTTAATTATTTAGCAAGCAAAGTTCTGTTGAGAGTAACCTCAGAAGTCATTTAGTTTCAGCGACAGATATATAGCAAACACAAATTTGAGTAAAATTTTAACTCCAAATTTATAACCAATCTATCCGATAATAGGTAATCATCTCCCTTTACCTTGTTCCTGAAAAATCATAATACATAGTTGCATGCAGGTACTCCTGTTTACTAGCAGCTTATTGTTGAAATATTAATATCATAATGTGTACTCTATACTGTTCGAGCTTACACTTGTTTATATTTTCACTATACAGTTTAAAAGCTGCTCTTGTGGCAAATAATAATATTATGTGGCAAATGTAAGCTGATAGTCCTATAAATGTCCATCAACAAACTTTCTATTGACTACATCGGGTCGGTTCGACGTAAGAGTTAAAAGCTAGAGTAATGGCAATAACCATTATGTCGACGCAAGCACACCAAGATTAGACTAGAGAGATTAGAGAAAGAAAACGAATTACATGGACAAATTGTAACAAACGAAAATCTTTTTACAAAATAAAAATCACTGATATTAGTATGGCAAGCTTTAAACAATAACAATTCAAGTCCCCAAGCGTAAGCTATGATCTACTGGAAATGTTTGTAATGCGTTTGTTGTTAATGCGATTCCTTTGTTGATTCCAGTGATGCTGATGCAAGTGAATTGATTGGATGAACTCTTCATAATGAGCATATTCACAATTATTTCATCGTATACTTTGTATACTTTAGATAAATAATAAAATGTTTTATTTAATGTACTTGCGCATTCTCACTTGTTCTTTTAATCAACTTATCATTATTCATTGATGGAATCCGTAACGATATTCCATTTTATATAGGCAATGCATTGGTTTTCTGGGGTCAATGCATTTGCATTCGTACATTTGGATGAATTCTAAGAATGTTTTAATATTATGTTTTCTCGTCGACTTTGGGTTCAGATTATGTTCTTGATTGAGTCCATGATAACATGTCTGTACCATGTACATGTGAGTACCAAGTCCATGATCAAGGCCACCGGATAAATGTCAGTTTGTCTGAGGTTTAACGTCCGCACAGCAGCCAATGTCATATGAATATGAATGCCAAGGGAAACACTGAGGATGATTATTTTCCATTTTCTGATTGCACCCATTCACGTATATATTGTAACCAATATAACGATAGATAACAGTTTGTCGACTTCAGCGGCCATGCATATCAAACACATATCAAAGCAATGAAATGACTTACGATTTTTATCATTTTAAACAATTATGTAAACTGTACGTTGGTGGGTTATCGAGCTGCTAATTTTCATTATCAAATAGAAAACAAACACAATTCAAATAAATTTACATTTACCAGAATTTATTACTAAGTTGGTTGGCATATGAAGGCCAAGGCTTCAACCTCACATGAAAATGAAAAAATATTTGATGGAAACTGGGACCAGAAAATTCCACCAAAGAGTAACTGTTATTATAGAATTGATATCGATCCGCATGTTCTGTTGTGGAAAATGGAAATTCTGCGAAATTCTGCCATTAGCAATGTTGTTCAGGAACCAGTTGAAGCCATGACGTGGTATATCTGCTGCAACCATACTGAAAAACATGGAAAGGAAAACAGCAGACACCGAAATTTGTAAGATAGAGCAGTAATTCTCAAGGGTAGGGAGGGTGGGTTTTCAAATGTTGGCAAATTTTGATAAGAAACGTGTTGACATCAGCTATCCCAAATGGCGTGGTTAAAAATTGTGACCTCCAAAACTAAAGATTTCCAATATTAGAATACTGAACGGCAGGAGTTGTCGTTCGTAAGTTTTTGCTGTAATTGGTCAAAGGGAGACAACTTAGGAGTACAATATAGATGCTTGATACTCAAGATCGCACAAAGAGGGGGAGTTGATATTCATTTGATAAACAGAATTAATTTTAAATAAATTAATTCCCAATTTTTGAAATGATGGACCTGGTAGGTTTAACGCACCTTAACATATTGCATTTTCCCCTTTATCTGGTGTAGTCGTTTGTGTTTTGTGTAAAGCAGTTTGAAACAAAGTGAAATAAATTCTAAATGAAAAAGTGTATCCCCCTTTAAAGCATAAAGACTGGGCCCTGAAGTGGAAATACAGGTGAATCTTAAAAATCCTTCTTACTTACATTATATTTCGACTAAGTTTGATCTGTAGTATCAATGGGCATGGATATTTAACTTAGTACAAACAGGGAGTGTGGGTCCCAGATGAGGCTACGGGAGTTAGTGTTGTAGATTTAAATCTTATTATTCTACCTTAATACATAATAATAATAATATGCGAGGTTCTTATATTTAGCTTTATCACAACCTAGTTCATAGGTCGTCTCAAAGCGGTTCACAAAAATGTTATCCGTGGTTATAGGGCATTTGCAACCAGCCAATATATTTCTCAACTCCCTGGGAGCATATAGCCGGTGCTGCCATTTCGGCGCTTACAGCTAGCATTCTACAAGTCTAGCACTGTCCTACCAGATTTAACCCGCAACCTTTCAGTCACGAGCCCGGCGTCTTACCGCTAGACTGCCGTCTATCCTAAAACCAGAAGATACAAACTAAACCAAACGTGATCCTCATGCTATTGGCCAAATACCATCATCATATGTCTTTGAGTTATTCAGGAGAAGTTACATTTCCCTGTTCCCTGTGACGTGGACAGTCGGTTAAAGTCATTCATAATCACGTCATTAGCTCATCTGCTCTTTGGAAAGATAAGCTTAAAACATACCAGTAGTCATATCCGTTTTTCTCTATTTTCTACAGTCTCGATCTAACAAAAATAAACAAACAGGGTTGGGTACGGGAGAGGGGGACCTTACGGTCGAATATTAGTCATACCAATCTGTCACATGATTGGCTTAGTGAACGTGGTTGACGTGTAACGACATTTTTTTTTTATCATTTCCTTATCATTCGTCTACTACCCTGAACTAAGATGTTGTGAACTAATTTTACTTATCATGAAGACATTACTTGGGATAGCTTTCTTCTGGTTGTACTTCATAATACATTCAGAATCAATACAAGGTAAGTGACGAACTCGTAGAATATTGCCTGCATGTATGCAAGATGTAGGGATTTCTTTTTCCGTTTTATTTTCAAATTATGTGTAGGAAGTTTTCATCAAAATAACTAATCAAAAATGCATCTTACCCTAAATTGATATATATTTTACACATTCAAATGTCATTAACCTTTCAAAGAATATCCTTACATTAAGCAATATTGTCAACCAATAGTTGTCCCACAGCGCGCAAATGTACCTATTTAAAACGCTCGTTTAAATGTCAACAATTAGGTAATAACATCATCTGAGAAAGAGAAGCAGCGATTTGACAATGTACGTCTGAAAAAAATATCAACTGACCTCTGGGTTAAAGCGTCAATCGCAGGCGCCCCTTCCCCATTGAATAATAGTTATTACTTCTCGAGACAGTTACGAAGACAAATTTTGCCACATCGCTGGTGTTTTAATTGTGCAAATTAAAAAAAATGTCAAATCACTTTGAAAAGGCAATATTTTTTCTCAATAACTTCAATTTGTTAATTTGCATCTAAAGAAGACAGACCTTAAATGATGAGGTTATTAAACAATACCTTATCATTTGTATACACTGTTTCATCATTTCATCATTATAAAGTCGATTTCGAATCATAAATGTAGGTTTGATTATCAGAGACACATTTTACACAGAAGCAGGAATGCCGTCAAGTACCAAACAGGCCTACAGTCGTACGACGTAGGAGTCAATTTAAATTGTGTATGTGACACTGTACACATTTAAACTACACTTGTGACGTCTGTATCTTGTATGTCCTGAGCTGTTTATAGGGCATTCAACCAATAAAACCAAACCAAATGAAATACTGCTATATAACAATGAAGTCAAAGTGGAAGATTATGTGTGATTTGTGGATGGGTGGAGTGGGGTGGAGTTTATGTCTCTATTGATCAGTGTATCTTGATATGTCGATTTAGTAGGTGTGTTGCTATATATCAGTGCATCTTGATATGTCGATTTAGTAGGTGTGTTGCTATATATCAGTGTATCTTGGTATGTCGATTTAGTAGGTGTGTTGCTATATATCAGTGTATCTTGGTATGACGATTTAGTAGGTGTGTTGCTATATATCAGTGTATCTTGATATGTCGATTTATTAGGTGTGTTGCTATATATCAGTGTATCTTGGTATGACCATTAGAATGGGGTTTGTCTAGGCTATCTTGTTAGAGTGATTTCTGTGCAGTATGATTTTATTTGTCGGCGTTTCTTGGTATGTTGATTTGTTTGGGGTGTGGCTGTATGTGTCGGTGTATCTTGGTGTGTTGTTATGTGTGGGGCATCACTTCATGTATGTATCGTAGTATGGTGCGTTGTTTCGGCCATAACTATATGTGTGTTTGTATCTTAGTATGGTTTGTTGTGTGGGACATGATTAAATGTGTGATTCTATCTTAGTATGGTGTGATGTGTGGGGCATTGTCTTTATGAATTTGTATGTATTGTTATGGTGATTTATGGGAAGTAGTCTTTATATCTGTGTGTATTTTGATATGTTGTTTGTGTCAAGTGTCTCTATATAGAGTGCCTTCGTACGAATAAATCAATATTTCATTGAATTTGATTACCTTTTTATGGCACTGTGATAAACGTTCAATAATTGCAAAATGAAAAATTAACAGCGCCATAACGCCAAAACAGAATTTGATGGTAGGAATTAAACAAACGTAGCATGTCTCTAAACCCCAGTAGAGGAGCTTTGCACATTGGACTATCGCACGTTGTCCTTCGGTGCGAGGCGTCAATATGCACTGTTCAACAATGTCCAAAAATCTCAGTTTTGAAAATATTCATTGTATAGATATGTATGTGTATATATGATCTAATATCCTTCATCTGCAACTAACTGAACATTTATCTGAGGATAACATCTTATAACACCATGCTGACGAAGACTGCAACCTCTTCGTGTATACTCCATAATAACGACGTGGTTTTGCTGTTAAGAAAGTGCTAACCTTTTCAGAACAATTTTCGTCTCTGTGTCAATTGTGTAATCTGTAATGCACTTTCCCTGTGTTTTAGATTACTCTCGCTTACTGTTTATATTTGTTTGGCATGAAATTCTTATATTTTCCTTTTCTGTTTACGCTTTGGTAAACTGCGTTTTCGTTTGATTTTCCTGACATATTATGTAGACACGGTTATCTATTGTGCTGTCAAAGGTGAGACATATCAAAACAATAACTTAACCGGTATGTATTCATCAATTGTTTATTGTAAAAAGTAGTACATATGAAGCAGTGTTAGAAACATCATTTAAGTCGAATATTATTTATATGTATATATGATCTCATACCCTTCATCTGCAATAGACTAAATGTTTATCTACATATATCATGTTTACTCTAATCAGAGCACGTGTTTCTTTCAATTTTAGTGTCACTGTTGAAGGCGATCATTTCTGCGGATAACGGGATTTCATTGGTTCGTTTCAAGAAATATTTTCATAAATGTCATTTGGAAAGATTGAAAAACAACGTTGATTTGTCCCTTTTTCGATAAATTTTCACCAACCGAAAATAAAGGCGTATATTGTAGCATTTTCATTATAAAGCCAAAACCAAAACAGGTCGTTAACACTTCATCAAAAAAGGGGAAAAGATTGCAAGAGTAAGTAATTCAAAAAATACTTTGGAACTTAATATTGATATTTGAAGGACTGTAGCAATTTCAAACAATTGAAAGCATACATCAGGGAGGACAGATGCGGAGTTAATACAGGTTTCGGGGAGGTTAAAGTATGAGTTTACCAACACAAAACTCGTGCATCAGAAATAAAGGAGAAAATCATAATCGATTGATATAGAGATGCCGAGAGTGTCCTTAGGAACTTCGGGATTCTTAAGTCCCCGAGGTATGCACATTTACCTATTTGAGTAGTAACAATGTTATATTATACATACATGTACTATACAGATTATTGAATCTGAAATTAACCTGTATTACTCTAAATCTTTAGATTACAAATGTCATCTGCGACAATACTCCAGAGGTGGTATGCAGATTATTATTATTAGAGGAAATGGTTATTACGGGACTTCCCCTCTTTTTCACCAGTAGTATAGTTTGATTTTTCACATTTTTGGTCAATAGTATCACCAATGAGTCCTGATAGGCGAAACAGCTCCATGAAGCAATATCATTATTTTATGGGTTTCTTCGTCAATAACCAGACTTTAAAGGTGCAATAACCTCTGTTAGTGTGTGTTACTTCCTCCATAACCAGACTTTAAAGGTGCAATAACCTCTGTTAGTGTGTGTGACTTCATATATAATCAGACTTTAAAGGTACAATAACCTATGTTAATGGGGAATACGTTCATCTTTCAAAAATGAAAGGTGGTAGACTCTGCTAATACATTATGTAGTCCCCTAGGTTTGCTGTAACCTTGATAGTCAAAATGCATTCAATATGCAAACTATACAAATTATTAAATTTGAAATTAACCAGTACTCTTCTATATATTTCAAATCATAATTAAAGGGCTTGACACATCTGCCCTTCTGTTAAAACAGTAGTTCAGACAAATTTGATCTCAAGCATTCTTGTCTCTAGCATCACCGATGAGTCCTAGAAGGACGCAACAGCTGTATGATTCAGGGTAGATTACTGTTTTCTTGCTGTTTCTACCAACTTTTAGAGGTAAAATCATATATTCATATTTCAAGATACAATGTGGTACACTCTGGTGATGTATTGTTTAGTCTCCGGAATTCGCTGTACTTACACTGTAATGGTCACAGGTATTTTTGAGTAGTGGCATTGTTTATAAAACACAGATCATTTCGTATGAAATTTACCAGTGTTTTTTGTTTGTTTTTTTAAGTCATAATTGAGGGGTTACTGTATATGTATAAGTCTATTTCTGAGTCTATCAGTCAACATGGCTGACGAAATATGCCAAAAGAAATACAAAATGTCGGAAAAGGTTGTTGTGTTGGTAAGATAAATCAAACATTAGAATTGTCTAACTTAGGTTTCAAATTTCTTGTTTTTTCTTTTTATTTCTAGCGTCAGAGTCATTAAAACGATTTGTAGCCAGCATTTCGTAAGAAAGATGTAGTATGGGTGTAGATTACGTTGCTTGCCCTTTCAATGCACTGGTTTGGGCAAAAAAAGCCTAGTGTATATCACTGCTTTTCGCCGTGAAAGTTCCTGCTTAACGTTCATCGTTTACGGTAATCACAACTGGTTGCACTCACAAGTCGGTATCATATCCGCACTATTACAAGGAGGCAAAGCAGATACACCAACATGTCCACGCTTTCCAAACAGTGAAGTGCGTCCTTAAATTACCTAGTATGTTAATAGGAAGTGAAACAAAGTTAAACCATGTCAAATACACTGTCACATGTGGGACTATTATTGTTAGTATTTTGTTTAACTCGTCTTAATGATATTAGAATAATTCATCAGAATCTGAATTGACACTTATTTATTAGTGTGATCATAAACGATATTTGTAACCACGATACTTGCCACCGTTTCACTTTTTTCACCTTGTTTAAAATAATCAAAATAATGCGACAACAGACAAAGGTATTATCTAATTTTATATTGAATATATACAAGCATATACATATGTCATCAAGTGAAGTGTCTCAGAGGTCATAAAGTCATAATGTAAGAAGAACTTGTTATTTAAACTCTACTCATCACCATATACATGGTTTTATGGGAGATCTGTTAAAATTCAAACATACTTTAACTTTATTTATTTTTGAAGACGGTTGGTTAATAATGACAGGGGAAGCGACCAGTACCATGATAGGGAGTTATTTCCCGTTAATTGTTGCATGATAGTTATTATACACAAAACAGACAAACTATTTCTCGCATTGGTTTCATGCAATCTGAAATAATTTTGATGATAGTTTCTTGCAATCTAAAATAATTTTGATGATTATTTCATGTAATCTGAAATAAATTTGATAATAGTTTCGTGATATCTAAAATAATTGGAACAAAATGTAACGAACACAAACACGTTGTTCAAAATATAGGTGACAGACATGGTTATTTACATTTCTACTGAATAACACTTCATGTCTAAAGAGTAGAGGATGTAGAATATAATATACTTGATGTGAAATAATATGTTGACATTGCTTCTGTTATTAATGCCATACCAATGTTTTTTCCAAAGCTCATGCAAGTGAATTGTTTGGCTGAAATGTAGCAATGTACATGTTCAAATATAATTTCATTTCATACATTGTAACCTGTATTAATACAATATTGACTGAAAAAATATGATACATTTGCTTGTTCTCGCTCTTTTAATAAATGCAGATGCTATTATTTGCATGACCGAGGACTATCAATTTGACAAGCCTACAGAGTGACAAAGATTTCGGAGAAAAATCACGTAAAAAATTAAGTCATCTTTGGGTGTGGGTGTGATTGTAGTATGAATTAAAATGGGGAACATCAGAGTATTTCGTGATTATACTGCCGGTTTTTTTTTTGTTTTTTTTTTTGTATTATTCACTTAAACTTTATTTGCGATACTTACGTAAGGACTTTACAAAATGTATCCCTTAATTACCTTATTCATGGATGAAAATGAAACTAAAATTGGACATGTTCTCGACGCATATTGAAGGCTATCATTGAAACACCTTCCGAAGTGACTATGGGCTACTGGACGCACCTTTTTGACATAGTTTAAACACTTCTTATCATTTCGTTGTCATTCGTCTGCCCTTTGAACTAACACGTTTCGTATAACAATACGGTCACCACACTTCCTTGTGATCAGATTCCAGTTACAAATTCCCTGCCGAACAGTATTTTGTAAATCTCGCAGTGTTTTGACGACTTCGCGGAGACTTTAACGGAGAACGTTAAGCTATGATGAAGATTTTATTCAGAACAGTGTTCTTATGTTTTTGTGTAATAATAGAACCAAATGCAGTACAAGGTAAGTGGCCAACTGGTACAAAATCTTCAGAGGTTGCTTTATGGTATGTAATTGTCTATAACTTCATGTATGAAAGGTTTCAAAATTATATCTATAGTCAAAGTGCATCTTATTCTCAATCGATACTGAGTACATTAAAATAGTTTACGGTACATTTCCTCAGCTTAATATATGTCTGATAAGTTCTGTTTCTCCTCATGGCCCTGCTACAACCTACCAGGCATTGTGTAATAGTGTATAGACATCAAGCATTGTGTAATAGTGTGTAAAGACATTAATCATTGTGTAATAGTGTGTAAAGACATCAGGCATTGTGTAATAGTGTGTATAGACATCAAGCATCGTGTAATAGTGTGTAAAGACATCAATCATTGTGTAATAGTGCGTATAGACATCAGGCATTGTGTAATAGTGCGTATAGACATCAGACATTGTGTAATAGTGCGTATAGACATCAGACATTGTGTAATAGTGTGTAAAGACATCAGGCATTGTGTGATAGTACGTATAGACATCAGGCATTGTGTAATAGTGTGTAAAGACATTAGGCATTTCGTGATAGTACGTATAGACATCAGGCATTGTGTAATAGTGCGTATAGACATCAGACATTGTGAAATAGTGTGTATATACATCAGGCATTGTATAATAGTGTGTATAGACATCAGGCATTGTGTAATAGTGTGTATAGACATCAGGGATTGTGTAATAGTGCGTATAGATATCAGGCATTGTGCAATAGTGTCTATAGACATCAGGCATTGTGTAATAGTGTCTATAGACATCAGACATTGTGTAATAGTGCGTATAGATATCAGACATTGTGTAATAGTGCGTAAAGACATCAGGCATTGTGTGATAGTACGTATAGACATCAGGCATTGTGTAATAGTGTGTATAGACATCAGGGATTGTGTAACAGTGCGTATAGATATCAGGCATTGTGCAATAGTGCGTATAGACATCAGGCATTGTGTAATCGTGCGTATAGACATCAGGCATTGTGTAATAGTGCGTATAGACATCAGACATTGTGTAATAGTGTGTATAGACATCAAGCATTGTGTAATAGTGTGTAAAGACATAAGGCATTTTGTGATAGTACGTATAGAGATCGGGCATTGTGTAATAGTGCGTACAGACATCAGACATTGTGAAATAGTGTGTATAGACATCAGGCATTGTGTAATAGTGTGTATAGACATCAAGCATTGTGTAATAGTGTGTAAAGACATCAAGCATTGTGTAATAGTGTGTATAGACATCAGGCATTGTGTAATAGTGTGTAAAGACATCAGGCATTGTGCAATAGTGCGGGTAGATGTCAGACATTGTGTAATAGTGTGTATATACATCAGGCATTGTGTAATAGTGTATATAGACATCAGGCTTTGTGTAATCATGGAGGTAAACGTTTATTGAAATATTCTGGACATGTTGATTCTTTGAATTGATAAAAAATCTACGAAGCTGAAAACCTTAAAGTCGAAAGCGAATGATTAAGGAAAAATATAAAAAAAACTAAGTATTATTTTTTGATTGATCAATGTCGTGAAGATAATTTAATTTACATACACCAGGTTCCCATTAATAATCAGGTCAGCAAGATAAACGTACTCCTGTTCATATCCAAGAGCATGATAAAGAAAAAAGCCCATGTTGAAATGACTATCAGATTTAAAATCAAAGTGTGAAAAAATTAATCATTCACAGTCATAAATGAGTTGATATTCACAGATAGAAATAATAAGAAAGTCACAGTCAGCAATGTTATGCCATTTACAGTCAGCAATGGTATGCCATTTACAATCAGCAATGGTATGCCATTTACAGTCAGCAATGGTATACCATTTACAGTCAGAAATAATATAGCAATAACAGTAGGAAATGATATGATAAATATAGTCAAAAATTAACATATTAGAAACACACCTTTTCAAATGAAAAAGACCATAATCATTGTCCCTCCGTTAAAACTAATATATACACAAAGCTATGTTAACCTTATTGTGAAAGAAGTATTGGTAATCATAAAAGTAAAATGACGTATGTTCTCTTCTTAGCATTAGGGTGCAGGAATGGATGGATACAGTTTGAAAGTTCATGCTACTTTTTTTCGAATGACGTGGAAACATGGGCAGAGGCATCTGTAAGTAACTTATCTTGATAGTAACACTATTTCTGTGATAATAAAAAAAAAATCATCATAATGATTTACAATTTCAAATATTCTTTTACTATCATTATCATACCCTTTTACCACCTGTGGGATTTCAATGTCTCTAAGATGTGGGGTCGCACAACGCATCATGTGCGAACAGTGTACGTTACCTACCTAACTTCTACGGGAGTTTTTTTTTTCCGAAATGCGAAAATGCTTATCAACGATCAACTTTCTATTTAAACCAAAGGCTAACAGTTAAATTGAGGTTTTTGAAGTAAAACCAATTTTCATGATGTAATACTTACCATAACTTTAGTATGCATATACAATACCTACACCCATCTTTGTAGCCCAAAAACAAAAGATTCAAATATCCCTACCTCCCTACCGTGACGTAACCTATATCTCGATGACAGAGCCACGGAGTGATCTCCCTTCCTCAAACCCCCTTTTATGGAGCCTAAAGGCAGCCAGGATGAGGAGGCAAGGGGAGGAATACAGGGTGGGACTCCATAAAGTTATGGTAAGTATTACATCATGAAAATTGGTTTTACTTCAAAAACCTCAATTTCATTTCAGTAATAATTACCATAACTTTAGTATGCGAATTCGTCTTACCGTAGTGGAGGCTTCGAATCCAGGCAGACCAGGCTGACGGAACAAACTCGAGACATGCTCAAGGTAGGGAAAAGGTTCAAGGAACCCCCCTAATAAAGCCCCGAAAGTAATTAAAAAATGGAAAACCTCCCCGTGAAACGAGCAGGTGTACCACCGTGGTGCCTGATAGCATACTATTTAAAATCACTGAATTACTGTGGAGGAACAGCCACAGACTGTGCAACCACCACCGGTCCAAGGGAATACAATCCATCAGAATGAGAGGCCAAGGACCGGAGATAAAAATCCGTGAAGGTAGTCTGTCCGCGCCAGAAAGCTGCGGACATGACCTCCTGAAAGGGGGACCCATTGAGGAGGGCCCATGACGCAGCAAGGGCCCTGATCTCATG